TCCTTAGTTTTAGATCCGAGCAGCACATCGTTTGGCCTTCAAGGTCCTTGATATAACCCACGTACGAAATTGAAAATGTGGAAGATGCCTACTGAAAAAAAACACCATACGGAAAGAAAGCTGATATGTAGCGATCTAGTTACAAACGTTGAAAATATTATTCAGGTATGTCCCAGATTCAACATCTATGTATTTCCTCTAAATGATATTTTTTGATTCAAATGTACTTCGATTTGAATGTGATGTTTAGTTGCAGATCCAAGAAGCACTGTTTGATACTTGCCACTCAATCGGAGAAAACCATCCAGTAAATACGGACCGAACAGAAGATCCCCAAAGAGAACTGACCAGAGTATACTTTACAGAATTCAGATCATTATATTCGTACGGAAGGCGATATATTGATTACCTTTCCAGATTCTCAAGCAGACAGATAGACAGATATTCAGCTTTGTCTCTATGGAAACACGACAGGTACCCTTACGAGGGGAGAGTATCAACTCGGCGTTCATAAACCCTCTCTGCAAAGGAGGTAGACGCATGGTGGGTTAGGTATATACAGTGTTCTTCATTGCAGAGAAAATTGTTGTTCATCTGCCTGTCTCGTCTTCATTGAGAAAGTTGATGAATTACAAAAATATATCGCGTTCCAGTTACGAATGTTGAAAACAATATCCAATATTATATGTAGGTTTCACGATTCAAATTTGAAATTGATCCTTAGTTTTAGATCCGAGCAGCACATCGTTTGGCCCTCAAGGTCCTTTTGATATAACCCACGTACGTTATTGAAAATGTGGAAGATGCCTCCTGGAAAAACCACTATAAGGAAAGGAAGCTGATATTATAACAATCTAGTTACAGACGTTGAAAATATTATTCAGGTATGTCCCAGATTCAACATCTATGTATTTCCTCTAATGATATTTTCTGATTCAAATGTTCTTCGATTTGAATGTGATGTTTAGTTGCAGATCCAAGAAGTAGTGTTTGATACTTGCCACTCAATCAGAGAAAACCATCCTGTAAATACGGACCGAACAGAAGATCCACAAAGAGAACTGACCAGAGTATAGTTTACAGAATACAGATCATTAAATTCGTACGGAAGGCGATATATTGATTATATTCCCAGATTCTCAAGCAGACAGATAGACAGATATTCAGCTTTATGTCTCTATGGAAACACGACAGGTACCCTTACGAGGGGAGAGTATCAACTCGGCGTTTATAAACCCTCTCTGCAAAGGAGGTAGACGCATGGTGGGTTAGGTATATACAGTGTTCTTCATTGCAGAGAAAATTGTTGTTCATCTGTCTGTCTCGTCTTCATTGAGATAGTTGATGAATTACATAAATATATCGCGTTCCAGTTACGAATGTTGAAAACAATATACAATATTTCATGTAGGTTTCACGATTCCAATTTCAAATTGATCCTTAGTTTTAGATCCGAGCAGCACATCGTTTGGCCTTCAAGGTCCTTGATATAACCCACGTACGTAATTGAAAATGTGGAAGATGCCTACTGAAAAATACCACTAACGGAAAGAAAGCTGATATGTAGCAATCTAGTTACAAACGTTGAAAATATTATTCAGGTATGTCTCAGACTCAACATCTATGTATATCCTCTAATGATATTTTCTGATTCAAATGTACTTCGATTTGAATGTGATGTTTAGTTGCAGATCCAAGAAGCACTGTTTGATACTTGCCACTCAATCGGAGAAAACCATCCAGTATAAATACGGACCGAACAGAAGATCCACAAAGAGAACTGACCAGAGTATACTTTACAGAATTCAGATCATCATATTCGTACGGAAGGCGATATATTGATTACCTTTCCAGATTCTCAAGCAGACAGATAGACAGATATTCAGCTTTATGTCTCTACGGAAACACGACAGGTACCCTTACGAGGGGAGAGTATCAACTCGGCGTTTATAAACCCTCTCTGCAAAGGAGGTAGACGCATGGTGGGTTAGGTATATACAGTGTTCTTCATTGCAGAGAAAATTGTTGTTCATCTGCCTGTCTCGTCTTCATTGAGATAGTTGATGAATTACAAAAATATATCGCGTTCCAGTTACGGATGTTGAAAACAATATACAATATTTCATGTAGGTTTCACGATTCCAATTTCAAATTGATCCTTAGTTTCAGATCCGAGCAGCACATCGTTTGGCCTTCAAGGTCCTTGATATAACCCACGTACGTAATTGAAAACGTGGAAGATGCCTACTGAAAAATACCACTAACGGAAAGAAAGCTGATATGAAGCAATCTAGTTACAAACGTTGAAAATATTATTCAGGTATGTCCCAGATTCAACATCTATGTATTTCCTCTAATGATATTTTCTGATTCAAATGTACCGTAGAATGGGGTGACTTGAAATCGTGTGGTGACTTGAAATAATATGCAGTGAAAATTTTGAAGTAGTGGCAACGTCGCATGTCAACGGAAGAAGCTAAACTAGTCTTTCAGTCTAATGATTTTTTGTTTATTTTTGTAGTTTTTTATCTTTTTTGTATTTTGCTAAAAAATATTTGTTCTAAAACACAGTGTTTTTTTATGAAATTGATGATTTCTATAAATTTTTTATTTAATTTTCATTTCATGTCACCACCTAGACCATCCTACTTGAAATAATCGTTGATAAGAAGTCATATTTCAAGTCACCCCATATTGGGGTGACTTGAAATATGACGTTTGACATTTTTTTTTTTTCGAAAACTACACTATATAGAAACGGTTTTAATGTATCGTTCTGTTCTTTAGGGTCGAAAGAGTTGGTGACTATTTTTAGTTTGGTTGAAAGTTGCATGGTAAGGTCGCAATATATGGAAGTGTGTCAAAAATCTTATCGAGTCACACCCCATTCTACGGTACTTCGATTTGAATGTGATGTTTAGTTGCAGATCCAAGAAGCACTGTTTGATACTTGCCACTCAATCGGAGAAAACCATCCAGTAAATACAGACCGAACAGAAGATCCACAAAGAGAACTGACCAGAGTACACTTTACAGAATTCAGATCATTATATTCGTACGGAATCTCAGATTCAACGTCCATGTAATTCATCTAATGATATTTATTTTCTGATATGAATGTACTTTGATTGATATGTGATGTTCTGTTGCAAATCAGAGAAGCAGTATTTGATACTTGCCACTCAATCGGTGAAAATCATCCAGTCCATACGAACATACACTGTATATGTATCATCAACTGACATCTGTCATCTGGCATCGTTCATCGTTCATCGTTCATCGGTTATAGGTCATCGGTCATCGGTCATCGGTCATCAAATTGCACCTCGGCAAGTTAACTTGCAAATTCTGGAGGAGACATTCTTTCTTGGAAGTCTACGAATATCGCTGAAGGGTATGTGCAGCAATCTCTCACAAAATAGCACTGAAGTTTTTTCATGAAAATATCACGAAAACTGCATTGGCTACAGATCTTACTTCTAGTGGTATTCAAATAACCACTGTTCAAATCTGCACTTTTTACACTAGTTTATATAATTTTTACTCTCCCACAAATTGAAAATATGTAGGATGCAAGAGTGAAATTAAGGTGCCCATAAGTTATACGGTATACCCAAGGGGTAAATCTCCTTGGAAGTCTGGTGTACACTCCGTTGGAAGTCTTTGGATGTTTTTGGATGTCTTTGGAAGTCTTTGGATGTCTATGGAAGTCTTTGTATGTCTTTGGATGTCTTTGGAAGTCTTTAGAAGTCTTTGGGAGTCTTTGGAAGTCTTTGGGAGTCTTTGGGAGTCTTTGGGAGTCTTTGGAAGTCTTTGGAAGTCTTCGGAAGTCTTTGGTCATTGGGAGTCTGGTGTACACATTTTTCCTGGAGATTTACCCCTCGGGTATACCTACTTCTTTGTTACTTTCATCAATGAATTATTTGGAAATGACTTTTTATTTAAGGGAGACGGAAAAATCATATGTATAACATGGGGATAAAGTATATTCCATTCTTCATTTTCCTGCAATTTCACGTATTACTTTTTATAAGCCTACTTTTCTACTACTACTCAGCTTGAAATCAGAATTCATTCAGTCAATTCAGTCAACCCTGGTATACAGTCTAAGAACAGCCTCTTTTGCTGAAATATATCAAGCTTTTAATACAAATTATATGTTCCCTACCTCGCAAAGATTATGCTGGAGTAGTAAACTCTAAAACTAGAGGATTGTTCAACTGTATCTTGGTATAGTTGAATCAGGAATTCCATATGGAAATTACGTATGATACGCCAATGACCTCAATACACATAACCTAAAAAATCACAAATGTCAAAAATTTAGTGTTTATTCCCAGAATTGAATAAGGATGGAACTATATATCACGTCCGGTACCCTTACAAGGGAAGTGTATCAACTTTGGCGTTCGTAATGCCTCTTTACAGTGGTTTTATACCAGCTTTTTCGAAATTATTTGTGCACTTTAGGAAAGCAACAGTCGTTAATTGTATGAAGTTGTGCCCTATGAAGTAGACGCATGTTTTCTTAAGAAAATGTTAATTTCAAAGAATAATATATTGCACAATTAGAGAAGTATAATACTAATCTTAGGTTATTTTCGAAGCAATGTAAATTATGGCAGCGGTACTCACAAGAACTCCATATTCGTTTGTGACACATCACTTAGGAGCTCAACTTCTGTCAGACAGATTAACGGAATATGGAGATTCCCAAGATAACTTTTCATGAACATTAAATTCAGATAGAGATCATATTTCTATTCTTCTCCGAACATTTCTTCATACAAAACGTTTACGTCCTCACTGTATGTTCAAATGAACTTTTCATCTCGAAAATATCAGGTCCTTCAAGCTGTTGAAGTCCTGCTACAAAAAACTGACACCCCGTATTTATGTGGACGAAACTCGGATTTTTTTTTGGTATCGGCAACGCCGCCGCGTAATCCAATCTCCAAACTGCTCCAAGCAATCCAAACATAAACAAAACCGCGCAGCGCGCAGTATTCTTGCAATGCGCGGAATACCAGCGAAGTCGTCGCGATCGAAGGTCCTGGTCAGCTGACTTGCACGTGGTGGTGTGCCTGGCAGGAGGCCCCCTTTACGAAAACGTGGTGATGTGAAGTGTTAAGAGCCAAAAGTGAGGTTAGACATGGTCGAACTGGTGGAAGAAGCCGAGACCTGCCTATCGCAGAAGGCGGTGATAGTGCAGAACGGTGTGAAAAGACAAAATGGGGGCGAAACGGTCCAACACCCTGCTGACGGCGGGTCCAGGGCCTGGGTGGTGATGTTGGGATCGTTTTTTTGCAACGGGATATTGTTCGGGGTCATCAATTCATACGGGGTGCTGTATAAAGAGTTCCATGACAATTTGCAGAGGAGGAATGTGACGGATCCATCTGGGAAAGCAGGTGAGTACTCAGTGATTTGTGTGCCCAGGGCATCCCACAAAGAAGTATTAGGAAATACCTGATATACCTGGTGCTTCTAGTGAACTGTCGTTTTATGCCCTTAGTTGTTTCTCTATGGCCCTTAGGATGCTGAAGTTATAAACTGAATTACTGACTCCTCTTGTCACTATTGCCATCTTTCGTCTTTCAATCTTTGGTGGATAAGAATGTACTCCTCCGCCAAAAATTGAAGATGATTCGCCAAAAGCTGTAGTGACTACTGTTTATATATGCTAATACTTTATTAACATGAATATATCATACAATTCATACATAATATAATTGATCATGTCATTCAGACTTTTCTCAATATTTCAATAATTCAATTCTCTCTTGTTTATAATAACAACTCATCCTCCTTTGTTTTATTGAACTACAAGCTGGTCAGCTAGCTACTAACATCTTCCCCTCTATTAACGAAGAGGTTTGAATAACTTACCTGATCTAGTGACACTACCCCTATGTTCATTCGAAATATTAGGTTCAATAGATTTTGACGTACTGGGTATTTCCTCAGAAATCCAATCATTAGATGAGTCAACACCATTATATGGTGTGTTTTCAAAATCTTCAAAATCATAAATGTCATAGAAATTATCAGCTCCATTTAGTTTTCTTAAGTGTATAGAGTTCCTTCTCAATATTTTACTGTTTCTAGTCTTTACTAAATAAGATCTAGGAGCAGCTAACTTCTCTATAATGATAGCTGGATTCCACAGCTTTGATGAGATATCTTGAAGCAATACCTGTTCTCCCTCCAAAAAATCTGTTTGCTTTGAACTCTTTAGATTAAAATATTCTTGTTGAATTCTCTGGTTTTTTAACATGTCTTCATAAACATCATTGGAAATTACCGAAGGCTTCAATTTTTCATAGCATATCGGCAATTTCGACCGAATAACTCTACTAAGGAACAACTGTGCTGGTGAAAAATTCAAGCCTGCAACTGGTGCATTACGGTAATTCAATAAACATAAATTGAAATCCTGACCTGATTCATTTGACTTGCTGAGCATTTTTTTCACTATTCCCACAGCCTTTTCAGCTAGACCATTAGACTGATGGTGGTGAGGACTAGTTGTTTGAATTCTGAAATTCCATTGATGTGAAAATTGTTTGAATTCATAGCTATTGAATGGCATATTATCTGCTATGAACTCGCCTGGGATCCCAAACCTTGCAAAAATAGATTTACAGCTTGCAATTACTGAACTACTAGTTTTATTCATCAATTTACTGACTTCGATCCATCGGGAATAAAAGTCTATCAAAACTAAATAACTATTTCCAGACCATTCAGCAATATCTGCTGCTACCTTAAGAAAAGGTATGGGAGGAATATTATGACTTAGTAGCGTTTCTCTAGTTTTTGATTTACGGAATTTTTGACAAATTGAGCAGGAACTAACGAGGTTTTTCAAATCTGAAGTTACGGCGGGCCAATAAAAAAAATTTTTTACAATACCATTCATCTTTGCTATTCCCGCATGAGTTTCATGTAAAAGACTCATACGAGACTCATAACAAACTTTCGTAATGTTCTAGGTACAATCAATCTAGACTGATAATATAGAAGCCCATTGTTCATTTCTATTTCATTTTTATTCTTGATAAAGTGATTAAGTTCTCCACCATGTTCATTGCTTATTTTATTAGGCCACCCTGTCATATAAAATTGTGAAATTTTACCCAAAACATCATCATCTAAAGTAGCTTTCTTGAATTGTTCTAATCTTTCATCAGAAAATGTTAATTCATGAGCCCCTATGCAATGTATAACATCTTTCATGGAGATATCAATTGGTTCAGTTGTACTCACTCCACATCTCGAAAGAAAATCAGCTACCAACATTTTACTTCCTGGTAAATATTTCAAATTGAATTTATATATCAATAATTTCAATCTCAATCTTCTCAATCTATTGTTTTGAATTTTATGTAAAGGTTTAGATATAACGGAAATTAAAGGCATATGATCTGTATAAATTGTGATGTCCTCGTGACCGTAAATGTAATTATGAAATTTTTGACATGAAAATGTAACTGCTAAAAACTCTTTTTCGATCTGAGCGTATTCTGTTTCTGTATTATTTAGAGATCTTGATGCAAAATATACAGGCCGATCATTTTGTATCAAACAACATCCAATAGCATCTTTAGAAGCATCACATTGTATAACCACAGGCTTAGAGGGATCAAACGGAGCAAGTACCTGGTTACTACAAATAATTGTTTTAATTTTATTTATTGTCTCTGTATGTGAAGCAGTCCATTGCCATTCCACATTATTTTTTAGTAAATCTCTCAACGGTGAAATTACTTGGGACAAATTGGGAATAAAATATCTGAAAAAAGTTATCATTCCCAATAATTTCTGTAACTCATTTTTATTCTTCGGATTTCCAAATTTCTTAATCACATCTACTTTCCCAGGATCCGGAAGCATGCCATCCTCACAGAATATGATTCCTAAATATTTAATTTGTGTCAGACAATACTGGAACTTATCAAAATTGAATTTAACATTGAACTGCTTAGCTCTTTCTAATACTTTCCTGATTATAATATCATTTTCTTCTTTAGTTTCAGTAGCAATGCAAATGTCATCAAAATAAATAGTCACACCTCGTATATCTCCAGGTTTGTTAAATTCCATGCTTACTTTCTTTCAGGCTGGGTATATCAATTATAATGGTTCTGCTTTATACGACTGCGCCATGTTTATATATGCTAATACTTTATTAACATGAATATATCATACAATTCATACATAATATAATTGATCATGTCATTCAGACTTTTCTCAATATTTCAATAATTCAATTCTCTCTTGTTTATAATAACAACTCATCCTCCTTTGTTTTATTGAACTACAAGCTGGTCAGCTAGCTACTAACAACTACTACTGGTCAGACTCAGATACAGAAGTGAAGTAAAACTCATGGGATCAGAAGTCTTCCCTTATACACACTTGATTACTTGATTGTTTATCAGCTGTAACTACTTCATGCAAATAACTTCACTAACGATAGGTAAACTACTTGAATTAAAAAAAAAGATCGAGACTCGGATCGAGATGAAAATGTTTTTGTAAAATTTTTGTTGGACTAAAGCAAATTGCTGTTTTCATGTTTTCAATAATGTAATTACCTATTTGGATCTCGATTTGGATATAATTTTTTTATCGAATGTGGTTAAATTAAATTGAGGGGGTAAGCCACCTTGAAAAATCACCCAGTATACTAAGTTGATGATTATTCTATAACTCTTGATTCAAAAATATAATAATTGTTTTCTGGATCTGAGACTCAGTTCAGTGAATTCCGAGGTGAATTCTATATCAACCACGAATAACTTGCAATTTTGGTGAAGGGGCGTATATTTCTTCTTTTGTTTTTCTTCATGATATACAGGGTGATCCACGGTGGATGGCCTATTAGAAGTATCTGGAGAACGAAAAGACAGAGCATTCTGAAAATCGGGGTGCTTTGATGATTGAGCATTCTCTATCCGTCTAAAATATTTCCATCGATACAGTGTTGCCACTTCTATCAGAAACAAAGATCAAATTTGTTATTTCGAATAGAACACCCTGTATCTTATTGCATTTTTAGATTCTTCCTGGAAAGCTGATTTTATCAATCTATCACACTCGGGGTCTAGCAGGAATGATTACAGAGATATAGGGTGTTCAAAATCGATATTTTTCAATTTTAGGATTTTTTTGTGTCGAAACTATTCACTATCGATCAAACCGGTCCCTATCTTAACTTTCTATTCACTATCTACTAGAATTCAATTGGAAAAAATACAGGGTGCTTCAAGATTCAGAATTCTGATCTACTTGTATCTGTTCCAATTAAATGTCAGTAGATAGTGATTCAAAAGTAAAGATAGGAACATGTAAGCCGTTTTGATCGATAATGAATAGTTTCGACATAAAAAAATCCTAAAATTGAAAAATCTCGATTTTGAACACCCTATATCTCTGTAATCATTCCTGCTAGACCCCAAGTGTGATGCATTGATGAAATCAGCTCTTCAGGAATATAACGAAGTTGCTAGTTGTTTCTGATAGAAGTGGCAACACTGTATCGATGAAAATACGGACAGAGAATGTTCAAATAACAAAGCATCCTAATTTTCAGAATTTTCGGTCTTTTCGTTCTCCAGATACTTTTAATAGGCCATCCACAGTGGATCACCCTGTATAGCGAGAAACTTTTTAGTAGTGCCTTAGATTATCAACTCCCCGTTAATCTATGGTAGTGGTGATGTGTGCTGATATTCTTCCATTTTCTAATACTTTGTTTGTTTGTATGCTATTGAGATTATTTCAGATCGAATAAGAGGTCAAGTGTTTTGAAAAAAAATTTCAAAGATTATCGGAACTCGACACATTGAAACAATTTTTAATCCTACTTCACACACATTTTTTCCGAGTAATTTATCTTTTATTAGTTGAACTCTTGGTTATTTGATCCGTATTTGATCTGTATTTGACTATGCTCGATGAATGTTATCAAACTGGTGATATAACTATATGTTAAACCTTGAACAAAATATCAGAATTATCACTTATCAGTAGGTACTGTAATAATTGGAGTAATACCAGTAATACCACATATTACTCACCACCGCAATCATTGATAAAAGGAAAAATATTTGTTCATTTTGTGTCTACTGTTTATCTGTGGTTTATACGTTTATACCTACCTAAATATCATTTTTCTGCAATCGGCTCAAAAGTCTTCCATTTTTGTTCCAAAATTAGCTCTTGTAGTTGACATTTCTCTTAGTGACACATTGAAATGATGCGTATGTATGTTGCTGGGCAACACTTTTAGTGTCTAGGAGCTAAAGTCGTAGTTTAACTCCTAAAAACTGAAAAAGTATCGAAGGACAGCAGATAGGATAGTTGCTTTGATACAGCCATGCTCAAGTGACTCAAAATAGTGGTATTTTCACCGATTTGATGTATCGATATCGAAAGGCTAATTATAGGCTAATTAATTACCCGAGTAATTACCCTATTTTCGAATTTTTTGCTCGACGTTTCGAACAAAAACAAAACAAAACGGTTCGTATATACATCAAGCATTTCTATCAAAAGCAAATATTATGACTATTTTATGAGGCAAAGTTTCAGTATTGATTGTAGGCTCAATAACTATCCCATTTTGGGATTTTTTGCAACATATTTTGTAAAAGAATCCTGTGGCTTCCGGCGAAGCTAGCAGGGCCACAGATTTTTCTCTGATAGAGAGGAGCAAGAAAATTGGGAATAGGGTAATAAATTAGCCTAAAATGAGCACTACATTTTCACAATATCAGATCATCAAAAGATATTGTTTTTCAAAAATGGCTTCGCTGAGTTCGGCCGAAGCTAGCAAAGCCACAGATTTTTCCATGATAGAGAGGAGCAAAGAATTCGGGAATGGGGTAATGAATTATCCTAAATTGAGCCTAAAATTATGAAATGTGTCTCATGTTAAAAATTGAAAGTTGCTTTTTTCCACCAAAATCGTAATGATCAAACGGTTCAAAATTACCTCGAAAATAACTTTGAGGAGGCATAAAATACAGAGTGTTCCATTTGAAATGAGAACGTTTGTGTCCACTTTTGGCGATATTTCACATCCTGTTGACTCATATAATGTCAAAAATTTTCAGAATTTTATTATTATTATATTCGAATGGAAAGATCCAAAACTTTCAACAACCCGGTTTTGACAAACCCTGTAGGTAAGACACTATAGGGTTTCGTTTTGAAGGGAAGTAGAGTCCGAATATGATCCACCTCAGTTTGAATTCATTTGTAACATTTTTAAGTCTTCCAACTCATATGATACCGCCTTGAAATTTGATCTAGGTATACAAATAAGTTAAGCCTTGTTTATCGAGTTGTTTATTGTAATATTGAAATGTAATCCGAGACATACCTACATATCCACCAAACTATCGAATTAACAAACGAAACAAGACGAGAAATAAAACATAAATACCTCTACTGGACAAATGAATAATTTGTCGAAAGTATCAACAACATTTTCAGTTTCAATTCTTTTTATTTCCTGAATAGAATCATCACTCAGTTACCTTTCAATTTCATATTTTTTAAGAATTTTTCCGTCGATTTTTATGTGCTAAAGCGTGCCACGGTAATTCTCAAACGGCTAGGTGGCTTGCTAGTAATGGATTTGTGTAAATAATAATTATATTAATTCCTGTGGACGTGGTCTTGTCAGTTCTTAGCATTCAGCACAAAGTTGCCAAGTCTCCAACATTTACATGATATTTTGTTATGGAGAATAAGAAATATTCGGACATGCTGCTAGCCAGAAAAAGTCAAGATTGAACTATTATATCATGGGTTCCTCCTATTACGTTTTTTTCAACGGCAGAACTCAAAGATCTTTGATAGCTTCATTATAATTGATTACTTGGCAACCTTGCTTCATGAATGGGAATGAAAGATTATCTGACCAATAACGAAACGGCATAAAAACTGACGTCACAATTTACAGGAGGCTGCCTCTGTTCGCTGTCGCTGCCGCTACTGGCTAACGAATGAAATACAGATCAAGCAAGTATTTGAATCTTTAAGGCTTCTCTGATAAAAACAAAAATACTTAACTGAGATGTTTATAATTCCAATACTCAACTACAATAAGGTGTATTTATATCTCCAGCATGGGTATGAAATGCCAAATCTGCCGAAATCGGAAACAAATCAGGTATGCGTCTCGACCCAAATAACCAACCATAACAATGTTGTTTATTCTTGATGACGTCCAGTACATCCTTTTTTGTTCCTAGGAGCTAAAGTTCAACTTTAGATCCTAGGAACTAAATATGTTTCCTAGCAACATAGCTTTTTTTGTGTCAGTAATAGAAACGTCAATTTAAGAGCTAATTTTGGTATCAAAATGGACGACTTTTGTATCGGTTGCAGAAAAAAACATTTCTTCATAAAAGCTTGTCTATTTATTTTCCAGCTCTGGTGGGCTCCTTCGCCATGGGCACCACCTTCTTCGTGTCGCCCGTCGCCGGCGTGCTCACCGACCTGATTGGCCTGCGGCGCACCACCTTCCTGGGCGGGGCAGTCGCCTCGGGCGGCATGTTTCTCTCCTCCTTCTTCGTCGACGACGTCGCCGCCCTCTGCGTCACCTACGGCGTCATGTACGGCCTGGGCGGGGCGTTAGCGTACACGCCCTCTCTCGCCGTGCTAGGGCACTACTTCAAGCGGTACCTGGGCAAGGTCAACGGGTTCGTCACGGCGGGCAGCTCGGTGTTTACGATTGGGATGCCGTACGTCATCGATGGGTTCTTGAAACGGTTCGGGGTAGGTAGGTGTGTTCGTAATTCTGAGATAGTGGTGCACAGAACTGTCAGGTAGTAGCCTTATCCACGATCGCGCCAGTAGCGCTAAAAAGTATCGTGGCTGTGGCTGCCTTATAGAGAGTCAGTAAGATACATGACAGGAACTGAATGTGCACGTTCCTGGGCGGGGCGTTTGCTGAGACGGTTCGGGGCCTTCGAGGTAGGTATATTCGTGATTCTGAGACAAAATACTCGTTGAACTGTCAGATAGGTAAATCCACGATGGCGCGCCGATATCGCAAACAAGAATCATGGCTGCATAGAGTGTGAAGGGCCGCATTATAATGCAATTCATTTGTCTGATAATTATTGTTCTTGAACTGCCATTTAATCTAAAAAAATTGACCCAGCAGTTGAACTGTCGAATAGGCTCTTCTTCAGTACGATATCGTGAGTGGTACTTCAATGGAGTGGTATATCTTCCTTCCTATGACATTGGCGGTCTAGATAGATAGATATGTCAGTGACCGTTGTACCCAAAACACTCAGAACTGCTGGCCGTCAGGCATAGCCTTATCCACGATCGCGCCAGTAGCGCTAAAAAGTATCGTGACTGTGGCTGCCTTATAGAGAGTCAGTAAGATACATTACAGGAACTAAATGTGCACGTTTCTGGGCGGGGCGTTTGCTGAAACGGTTCAGGGCGTTCTAGGTAGGTATGTTCGTGATTCTGAGACACAAAACACGTTGAACTATCAGATAGCTGAGTCCACGATGGCGCGCCCATATCGCAAAAAGTATCGTGGCAGCTTAGAGTGTGAAGGGTCGGATTATAATGCAATTCATTTGTCTGATAATTATTGTTCTTGAACTGCCAGTTAATTCAAAAAAATTTACCCAGCAGTTGAACTTATCTAAAATGCGAGGTAAAATGTTTAGGTTCATGATGGTTTTTTTGTATTTCCTAGTACTGAATTCAGAATGCTAATACAAAATACTTTATATTTGCCCATTTGAACGTTTTTTCAAGACCAATATTAACTGAGATAGCTATTGAGTAAAATACAAAGGATCACTTCAATACTGGAAACACATTATTATTGAATTAATAAATCATTATTGGACACTGTACTGTATTCTTCTAGTTTAAAAATATATCTTCCCCTTAATTTCCAAAGGTTCAAAAAAATTCCAATGCCTACCTACCTCCTATCCCTCTCCTCCCCTAGGTACGCACGATGTTCTTCAAGCATTATAGGGATTCCCTTTCGTGCGTTCCAAGAGATGAAAAAAAAAATCGTCCACCCTGTACAAAGATAGTAAAAACTCCCTTGTTCTAGGTAGTCTGGACCCTGAGAATTCTAGCTCTGATCTCTAGCCTCATCATGGTATGCGCGTTCCTCTTCAAACCCGTGAAACATCACCAGCCTGCCAAGAAAGTATCGTTCAGAGACGTGTTCAATATGTCGCTGATCAGAAACAGGAGGTACATGGTTTGGGCAGCGGGAATAGCGTTCTCTCTGTTCGGTTATTTCGTTCCGTACGTGTATATGCTGAATTTTGTCGAGAAGAATTTTCCAGAAGGTTCGGACACCAAACTGCCCATACTTTGCATCGGCATAACATCAGGTATGTGCATAGACATATAAAAAGAAGGGAGACCTAACGTTTCATTCATAAAATACTATTTGTTTACCATGATACACACTTCCAAAGTTTCAAAGAAGTTAGAAAGAGATGGCTTTAAAGAATGGCAACCCTGTAAACTGTGCTTGTTCACACTTTTCTTTACCAGTCGCGTAGATTAAGCGAAGGGCAAGACAATTTTACTACAATGACAATTGACAACGCTATTATACCTATTAGAAAATGTTTTGGTCTAATATTTCAATTTTAATACCAAATATTCGTAGTACCTCAGATCGACACTTAATTAATTTTGATCAGTGGATTTAGTGGAATTTGAACAGAAGAAACAACATTTCTTGGAATAATTTATTCGAATTTAGTTGAATAACCTGCGGTAACTTCACCTCTGCATAACCTCACTTGCCGTCGAAATGCCAATTTGGGGTTTGAATGGTGATATTTTTCACAATACACGCACTGGCGAACCATAATGGACTTTTAATAATCGTCATTATATAGTTTTATAACATGAAAACACTGAAAAACAATTGACATACAGAAGGTCCAAAAATGGTAACAAACACAGCACAACAACACTGTAACGTCGGCTTTCGACATATGTGAATGACTTCAAGAAAAAATAATATGCGTCACTCGTAGTAAACACGCCAATACAGTGTTGCCACAGTCATTTCCATAATACATCATAATATGTAGTGACGATTTTTTTAATTGACTCGGCCGTTACTTGAAGGAAATCCATAGTAAATTTGAAAAATGAATAATGTGGAAATGTTATCGTTTGTGAATTTTTTTTTCATGTAATGATGAAATTATTACAATTTAAATTATTTTAATAGCAAAATTCACATATTTCAGTTGAGGAACAAACATACAGAATCAATATACATAAAAAATGTATTTTGAATTGACTCGGCCGTTACTTGATCGAAATGTTTCGCTAACACAATAGCTTCTTCAAATTCAAATTTCAAATTTCAAATTCACTTTATTTTCCTTTTTGAACAGCAAGTACACTGTATTAAGTTCGTCATACATTAATACATAATGAAGTATGAATGAATAAATGATGAATGAATAAATGATAGATGAGAGAATGAAGCTACAAAAAATATGGATACAATTAAAAGTAAAAGTAGAGACATAGATACATATCAGAGGAGGGCATCTCTGCTCTTCATAAGTATAAAGAAATCTTCCACATTGTAGAGAGGATTCGCTGTTAAAAAAATTTTCAGCTTTGTTTTGAACACGTTGAATCTCAAGTTACGAAAATCAGAGGGCAATGAATTAAAAAGCTTGACACCTATGTCATCACATCTTTTTAAGCGTGTGAGGGGCAGTATCAAATTGTTGTTTTTCCTGGTGTTGTGTGAGTGAACATCAGAGTGTACCTTATAAGTATTTAACGGTATTTAAGTTGCTCTTCACTTCTACTAATTTCTCGTATACAATTAGAGAGTAAAGTGTCATTAATTGGAGTTCCATAAACAGTGGTTTGCTGGAGACCTCTCTATTCACATTCAATATACTTCTTATGGCATGTTTTTGTGTCAGGAAAAGTTTATGTAGATGTACTTGGGAAGCTGAGCACCAGACATTTAATCCATACCTGAGGGTAGATTCAAAAATGGAATAGTAGGTCATTATGGCAGCTGACTTGCTTATACATTGTCTCACTTTTTTTATAGCATAGATCGCAGAATTTAATCTGCTGCATAATTGTGTCATATGGGTACTCCACATGAGCCTTACATCAATGTTTAACCCTAAAAATTTTGTGTAAGTATCTTCATTGCGGATGTCATCAATTTTAGTTATTCTGGATTCAAATACTAGTGTCTTAGTTTTTTCCTCGTTCAGAACTAATTGATTTGGGACGAACCATGATCTTGCAGATTCTAATATTTCCTTCTGGATAATTGTTGGGTCCTCTCCTCTTTGTACATTAATACCAAAAGTGGCGTCATCCGCATATAGAACAGTACCTATTTTTTTATTCTGGAAAACATTTGGTGAGTCATTTATGTATATTAGAAATAGCAGAGGGCCCAACACCGATCCTTGGGGTACACCTCTAATTATCTGTTGGGTTCTACTTAGCTCATTTCCTATCATAACTCTCTGATCTCGATTTCCCAGGTATGAAACAATTATATCAAGGGCTACACCCCTGATACCGTAATATTCTAATTTCCTAATTAATATGCCATGTTCAACACAGTCAAAAGCTGCACTCAGGTCAGTAAAAACTCCAAGGAAATTCTCATTGTTTTCAAAGGAATTTTTAATGGAATCTGTTAAGGACTTGATGGCATCAATTGTTGAAAGATGTTTTCGGAATCCATATTGATGATTAGTAAAGATGTTGTGTTTGTGGTGGAATACTAAGTTTATTGTACTAGTATTTCACCTGAAGAAGCTACTGTGTTAGCAAAACATGTAGTATGATTGAGAATGTTGTGTTTCTTCTAGGATTGGGAAGGCTGTTATTTGGTTACATAGCAGATTTGCCCAAAGTGAACCGGATATACCTTCAGCAGTTGAGCTTTTTCAGCATAGGCGTGCTCACTATGCTGCTGCCCTTCTCTGCTGGACATTATGGCTGGTTGATAGTGATTGCACTTGGTATGGGCCTGGTCGATGGTTGTTTCATTTCTCTCCTAGGTAAGTTTATCGGAGTGAAAAACATCGTTGAAACTTCTTGAGAAAGCGAATCCGAGGAGTTGGAAAAGGTTGAGATCATTCTATCACATTTATAATGATTGTCAATTTTACAAGGGTGCATAAAGTTTCTAGAAATGTCTAAGGAAAATTAGAACAACGGAATTTCATCATGAGAATGGGCGTGTACACCTTAGTAGAACTTTTAACTCAAACCATGTTTATAATGATCCTTTTATACATAAATAATGATTGAGGACATAATTCGATCGAAAAATTAACTGGATTGTTTTATTTTTGGACATAAATAATAGTACCTTCAGAGAACGGCCCCTCTTATGACGTAGAAACCTCATCTCGCCATAGTTAAAAGAAAATACCAAACGCCCGACGGAGACTGAGGCAACTGATATATCAATTCTTTCAACTGTGATCTCGCGCCAATTCACTCTGTCAGAAATCATGTATCATTCATCTCTGTCTGGATTAGTCTTGTTAGGGTTTTGACGTTACATCATCGCCTCATTTTCAGAGGTCCGAAAAATCGGGGATTTCAATAATTTTTTATAAAACTTAGGGAGCTTACAGCAAAAAACGGTTTGCGGTGGTGAGCTAGTTTGGGTGAGTTCTATCGAATTATTAAATAAAAATTTTTAGTGATATAAGCCCATTAACCGACGTAATTTTTTTTTCGCACCAAACATTGTTTTTCTATGAAAATTCGATGGAATTTTATTTACAAGTCCTAGGAATAACAAAAAAATTACCAAATTTTCAAGGGCTAAACATTTTTTCATATCATCAGATTGAGTTTACACTGCCCTTTTCGTCTACAGTGTCATTCATAAAGTCGGCATCCGATGGGAAACACTTTTATTAATGACTTATTTTGAAATTCGATTTGGACGTTAAGTTTTGCTTTAAACAAGATGTAAAATGGCCTACTCAATCGGGGTCACGTGACTTCCGCTACATGTCAAAAGTGAAATTTTTTCAAATTAATCGCTGAAAGTAGGCTTATTTGTTCGAATATCGAAAAAGTTCACTTGAAAAAGTTGTTTCAATTTGAATTTTACATATGCGACTCGGATTTCATCTTTCTATTACATTTCTTAGATTTCGATATTTTTTAAAAAATTTCGATATTTCTGTAATATTAAAAAAATTGTAAATTCGATAAAACTACTTGATACCAGTAGCTTCATCATGCTACTTACTTTCAATTACTAATTATCACTATTTATCAACAAAAATATGATTTTCTTCAGAAAATGATAATCTCCGCTTCAAAATTCTGTTATGTTTGATGCAAACATAACATCAAAATTCTGTTATTTTTGAGTCAAGCATTAAGAAACGAAATTCATTTAAATATATTTTTCCACTACTGAAAAGATCAGTTTAAATGAATTTCGTTTCTAAATGCTTGACGATATATCAACCTTGCATCAAACATAACAGAATTTGGAAGCGGGGATTATCATTTTCTGAAGAAAATCATATTTCTGTCCATAATCAGTGATAATAAGTCATTGAAAGTTACTAGCATGACAAAGCTACTGGTATGAAGTAGTTTCGTGGAATTAACAATTCTTCAAATATTACAGAAATTTCGAAACATTTGAATAAATCAAAATCTAAAAGTTGCAATAGAAAGATCAAATTCGAGAAGCATGTGTTAAATTGAAATAGAAATAACTTTTTCAAGTAAACTTTTTCGATATTCGAACAAATAAGCCAACTTTCAGCGATTAATTTGAAAAAATGTCACTTTTGACATGTAGCGAAAGTCACGTGACCACGATTGAGTAGGCCGTTTTTCATCTTTTTTGAAGCAAAACTAAACGTCCAACTCGAATTCCAAAATAAGTCATTAATAAGTTTTTCCCATATGATGCCGACTTTATGAATGACACTGTATATGGGACAACAAAATGAGATATTGTGATATTGACGTGAATCTAGAACCATTGTGTTAAGAAGGGACGGAAAAGGACCACACTTCAATTCAAAACATGTTGAAGCAAAAGGTGGGAGAATGGTTCTGAATTTATTGTTAATAAAAATTTTTAAAATCCATGCTTTCTGAAAACACTTGTATCTTCCTTTAAAAAATGTTTATCGACGTGAATCGAAAGTCATACTGTTAAGAAGGGATCACATTCCAATGGAAGCTAAGTTTAACCACTCACCTTTGACACAGGGCGATAAGAAGTTAAGGATGAATGAGTAACTTTTGTTTGTCCCTGTATAATGATCAAGTCATCAGCTTTTCTGAGGATCTTATAGTCAGGCTAACATTCCGAAACATGATTTGGTCGAAATTACTCCCAAATCGGACAAGAATTAAGAAAGAATGTAAACTACTCAACACTAATTTCATGTATTCACATAAAATCTCTACATGGTGTTTTCCGACACTGTGCCAAATTTCGGAATATTCAAAAGGCTCTCAAATTGTGAAAAATATTGTTTTCTCAACTTCGACAAAAGAGGCATGAAGATGATCTCATTACCTCGAGATATTTCTCGAATCAGCTTCCTATCTCTCTTATTTACAGAGTGAACTCAAAAAATCAACTTTTTGGTTTTGCAGTCATAACTTTTTTCCACGTCAACCGATTTTGGAAATCTTAGGCTCATTTTGAAGATGAAACTTCAGATGAAGGGATCTGAATATCAGAATTGACTCAAGATGGCTATCAAATATCTAGTGTTTTCTTGAAAGTGACCCAAATCTGGAACGCCCTCCGAATCTCGGTTGGGAGGAGAATTGCATGAAAATCAACTTGTTCTCGGAAAAACAATTCATTCTGGATGCGTCCATATCTTCCTCGCTCTCAGTACTCAAGAATGTGCGTGAGAAAACACAATTGAAACATGTTCTTGCAAAAACATCAGACCATTTCTCCTCTGTAATGCATGGCCCGTAACCAACGTTACAAGAATCACAGTTAGTGTATGTAGAGATTTTATGTGAATACCCTTATGTTTCAATGAAGTACGAGATTATAGCTGAAGGACTGGGCTATCGAACAGTGTGAACCAAATTCAAATCGTTCTAAACTGAAAAAAGTTATTCACATCATATCAGAGGCGACATTTTGGTGTGCGACGAAATTAGTGTTGAGTAGTTTATAAGCGTGTTGAGAAAAACTTAGGATACCTTGATGGAAATTGACGTTAAAGTCCTGTTAAGATGACAAATACGTTAGTTTGCATCAAAGGAACCCTGGAAAAACTCACTCAAATCCCCCACAGGGCCCATAGCCTTCGACATATGCGGCAGAGAGGGCGCCACACAAGCCATCGGCTTCCTTCTCGGACTGTGCGCCGTGCCACTCACCGTTGGCCCCTACGTGGCCGGCGTGATCCTCGACCGCCATCAAAGCTACACTTTGCCCCTGGTGCTCGCAGGGATACCGCCGGCGGTCGGCTCGCTCGCCATGTTCGCCGTCAAGCTGGTGAGGCCGCCCGAGGCCGCGCCCATGGAGAACGGGGCGGGGCAGCCGCTGAGGGGTGGCGGGAAGGAAGGAGAGAAAGGTAGGCTGCTCGGGGGTTGGAGGGTCGTGCGGGACGGGAACGGGAATCTGGGGGGGAAGAGGGAGTATAGGTATTCGGTGCTGTGATTTGTTTTCCACAAGGTGTGTATTGAAGCATGTTGAAATGTCATGATTGAACTCAGTTTGCAAGATTCATCTTCTAGTTGGCGTTTTTCCAGGTTTAATTGCTGCAGGAATATGTCAACAACATGCAACAACCTATTAGGGATTGATCGGTCGATTGCAGAATCTTTACATCAATCCCTGGCTCCAAACTTAATGTTCACTGCATTTAGCTAATGTACAAGATTTTTTGCCAATTGAAAATCGATTTTTGATTTCAAGATTAATATGCCAATTAGAAGTTGATGAACAAGATTGATTTGCCGATTAGAGGCCATTTGTAAATTATGTTCATCAATCTATGAATCCAAACATCATCACATGTCCAAGATTTGTTCGCCAGTTAGAGGTTGATGAACAAGATTGATTGGGCCAATTAGATGTTGGTGACCAATATTGATTTGCCAATTAGAGGTCGATGAACAAGATCGATTTTCCAATTAGAGGCCATTTTCATTCATTTTAGTTGGCGTGTTTTCCAGGTTTAATTGCTGCAGGAATATGTCGATTGCAGAATCTTTACATAGATCCCCCACTCCAAACTTAGTGTTCTCTGCATTCCGTTTATCCGATTTTTTGCCAATTAAAGGTTGATGAACAAGATCGTGTTTCCAATTAGAGGTTGATGATCAAGATTAATTTGCCAATTATAAGTTGATGAACAAGATTGATTTGCCGATTAGAGGCCATTTGCAAATTTTCCACATCAATCTATGAATCCAAACATAATCACATGTCCAAGATTTTTTCGCCAGTTAGAGGTCGATGAACAAGATCGATTTGCCAATTAGAAGCCATTTTCGAAATTTCCACATCAGTCTATAAATTCAAACAAAATTTTAGCTTTATTCAGCTAACGTCCAAGATGTTTCCGCCAATTAGAGATTGATGAACAAGATTGATTGGCCAATTAGGGGTTGATAAACGAGATTGAATTGCCAATTTGACTAGAGGTTTATTGCCTGGCAATAAGAGGTCACATTAATGTTTGCCAAAAAAGACAGCGTTATTTCGAGATTTGTTGTCGATTAATATGATAGTAATATGAAACTACCAATCAGAGGTTGATTAGGATATTGATTTATAAATTGAACCTTATCTTTTTCGTATTTAGCGTATTTCCAAAGTTTATTAATAATTGAGGCGATTGTAAAACGAAACTTTCAATTAGAGGTTGATATCATGTGATATACTGCATGGATCTGTCAATTAGAGGTTGATAAACAAGGTTGATCTGGGCAAATTCATTTTTGACTTCAAACTAGGTATCTATTAGAAGATGATGACCAAGATTGATTTGCCCATTTGGCAAAAACTTCACATTGATGTGCCTCTAACGATAGTCAACAATTTCTCGCAATGAAGCCGGCAATTAGAGGTTGATGAACAAGATTGATTTGCTAGAGGTCATCGCAAAATCTCCACATTAGTCTGACTTCTAACATAATTTCTAATGGATTTAGATTGTTTTCTAATGATTTTTTTCGCAAAAAATTTGCCAATCAGATTAGAGGTTGATTACTATCAGATCAATATATCATTTATTGCAAAGACTCTGACTCAAAACTCAATCTGTATTGCAATTCAGCATATTATTCACACTTTCTAAGAATTTTCCGCAATTAATATAATTTCAGTATAGAACTACCAATTAAATCATCATGTCAATTGAAGCTCAACTAATAGATTAATCAATCAATTAGAGGTTAATTGCAAAATAGATCTCTGCTTATCGGAATGCAAACTCAACTTATTTTGCTACTAGGGCGATTCCAAGTTTTTTTTTGCAATCAATGTGTGTTGGATCTAATTGTCAATTAGAGGTTGATTGAAGTCTGTGATTTCCTCAAGTGCTACAAAAAAATCTTGCAAGTAGGATTAAACAGAAGAACATTTTGTTAGTGGCAATAGTTTTCTGGTGATTGATGACAACAATTATACGTTCAAGTAAAACTGAACTTGTTGTTTCAATAATGGAATTTGTTTATTCCCAACATAATTTTGTCCAATTTCAAGAAAAATCTTGCAATTGAAAATTGATTGACAGAATGATAATTTCCAAATTGTATACACCTTGTTGGAAAAATGTAACAAATAAGCCAAACTTTCTGTGATAAAAATCACTGCACATTTTTTCGATTGAAAATGTTACCAAACAATAATATACAGCGTGTTTTAAACACTATATAGTTTAATCCTATTCCTATGTTGTACAAATAAAATGCACCAATTATAGAGTAATTTCTAGAATCTTATAAGCAAGCCAATGAAACAAAAGGTTTTCCTTAATGTGAAGAATGTTTATTTTCTTGTTCTCTTTGTTATTGATTTCTTCTTCCTGTTCCAACTTCGCGTCATTATTATAAAAAACATTTTCCTACATTGAACTCGATAAATGAACTTTCTTTGTATTGATCTCGAGAAAAAATCGATTCAGGCTTATTTACTGGAAATTTTGTCGACACTTCATACCATATGATAGATAACCCAATAAATTGTCATTAGTTTAATTATCCGATAATCAAGCAATAACCCAATTAAATCAATCATTTTTTACCATCTGAATAATCTTTTGAATTATAATTAGGCTTCATTAAATAAGGGTCATTGTATTGGACGTCTTTCTTATTTGAATAATTAGTGTTCAATTTGTGTTCCTTTAATTCACACAGATAAAAATATAATTATTATATCTAATGTACATATTATGTTGATTTTGATAGAAAATATATTTTTGAGTTTTTCACCAATTCCACATGCAGAATAAATTATGTAAATATATCCAAATGAATTATTATATAATATTGCATATTTCATAGTGAAATAAATAGTTATAGACCTTTAAATCCGAGGAAAATCACGTTATGCCTTTACTTGATCCAAAGGACCCCGCACGAAAACACGGTAAATTGGCTGAAATGTTACTATGTTATTGTGGGATGGCTCATTAGAAAAATATGTGAGTTTGAAAAGTTTTGTATGTTTAGTTTCTGAGATATAAGCCGACAAAGTTCGTAAAAACGTCGTATCGGGGTAGGATTGACAAAGAAAAAAACTGTTTTTTCAGTGTAAATAAGAAAAAATAAGCTGAAAATGTATTGATCGCAACTCAAATACATGGATAGTTATGATCACATAAACTATAGTAAGTCAGGGTGAATACGAGGCACGGTCAAAAAATTCATTTTTCGAAAAAAAAATTCGAACACTATTGCAAAACCAACAAGTTATATTTTGGTGGGACATTATAGTTTTAGTCCATTGTAGGCTTCGAAAACGTATTTTGATTCATTATAACCATCTCTGTTCAAAATATGAATTTTTAAAATTTTGTGTTACACCCTTTTTTGAAAACAATTGACAGCTTATTGTTTTTGATCACAAAGAAAGGGATTGATTGATACTGTTGATTGAATGAAAGCTGCTGTGACTCACTAGCGAATTCATTTGTTCAATATTGCCTTTCATTTAGATACAGGGTGTGTTAGATTTTGTTGAAGATTATTCAACATGTTTCAATTGAATATCTCGAAAACAGTTCCGTTAATTTGGATCTCATTTTAATGTCACTATTTTGAATATGTTGACTAACATATACAAAAAGTTTTTCAATTTTTTATGTTTCGTTTCTGAGATAAGAATTTTTGAGTTTACAGTATTACAGGTATTTTAGGGTTATTACCTCGGATATTACTATCAAAAATTGATATCTCAGAAACGAAACATAAAAATTCGAAAAACTTTTTGCATATGATAGTCAACATATTCAAAATAGTGTGAGTAAAATGAGATCCGAATTAACGGAACTGTTTTCGAGATATTCAATTGAAACATGTTAAATAATCTTCAACAAAATCTAACACACCCTGTATCTAAATGAAAGGCAGTATTGAACAACTGAATTCGCTAGTGAGTTATCTCAGCTTTCATTCAATCAACAGTATCAATCAATCCCTTTCTTTGTGATCAAAAACAAGCTGTCAATTGTTTTCAAAAAGGGGTAAAACACAAAATTCTAAAAATTAAAAATTCATATTTCGAACAGAGATAGTTATCAAGAATCAAAATACGTTTTCGAATTCTACAATAGACTGAAACTATAATATCCCACCGAAATATAACTTGTTGGTTTTGGAATAGTCCTCGAATTTTTTTTCCGAAAAATGAATTTTTTTGACCATGCCTCGTATTCACCCTGATTTACTATAATTTATCTGATTATAACTAGACATGGTTATGAGTTCCGATCAATATATTTTCTACCTAATTTTGTTTCATTTATATTAAAAAAACAGTTTTTTTCTTTGTCAATCCTACCCCGATACGACGTTTTTATGAACTTTATCGGCTTATATATCAGAAACTAAACATACAAAACTTTTTAAAACTCACATATTTTTCTAATGAGCTATCCCACAATAACATAGTAAAATTTCAGGCAACTCGACCGAGAGCCAATTTACCATGTTTTCGTTCGGGGTCCTTTATTGATAATCAGTCATTGTTGAATTGTGTACTCATTTACTACAAAAAAGTAACCTTGATAACCTCGATTTACTCTCATTGTTTTGACAAAGTTTGTATTTCAATAATTATTGTTTATGTTCTAAAATTACTAAAATGCAAATTTCGTCAAAACCATGAGAGCAATCGAGTCTTATCAAGAGTACCTTTTTTAAAGTAAATGAGTTGCGCAATCTAAATTTCATACTCAAACTCCTTTTCTTCCAATGGCGTAGAATTTTTGAAGGTGCAATTATTCAAAAAATCAAGTTCTACGCCTATGTATTATTATCGGACAAAATTTTAACACCATTTTTTTGCCACATAAAACTCTATCAATATACCAAATTTCAGCAAAATCGCATATTCCGTTTTGAATTTATATGGGAAAAATGATTTAAAAATTGTAACTACAAGGCCCTCTGGAGCCCAAACGATGCAACTTTGTATTAGGGTAATTTTACTTAAATCGACTTATTTTGGTGTGACGAATATGTGGTATGTTACAGACACCCTGTAGAGACAAGGAGAGAACATCCCAAAAAATCTGGAACAATGAATTTTGCTATAGCTCACTCAATATAATATGAAATAATAATAGGACAAACACAGTTCATAGTCCTATTATTATCTACAAATATCTATCAAGTATCTAATTGAATAATAAAGATATGGATGATGCAATAGTCGAATGTATTACAAACAGTGTGTCTCATTTTCAATTGAAATAATTTTAATAAATTCCTCTACTTAGAAAATCGAAAGTTGAGACAATTTGTCATCTGTGGAAAATGTAATTTTGTATCTTACATACAGCCCTAATTCTAATTCTTGATTTTAGTAATAATGGGTGTGTTGAAGTTGTAAAGTAAAACAAAGGTTCTTTAGAAATAACTTGAGGACAGCTGGATTTTTTATTCAAATTCGGAACATGATTTCTCATTAGAAAAACTCAAATTTCAACAGAAAATTACTTTGGTTACTTTTCCTCCCATATTTTCTACGCCAATGAAAACTCAATTTCTTCAATTCCCAATTCAATTTTGCTAAACTGACAAATAACCTTCAACTCAGCTGAAACTAATGGCTTACGAAATATTGGAAGTGAAAATAAAAGATAACTTACATTATCATATACAGGGTGTCCCTAGACCAGCGGGACAGTTAAATATCTTCTGCACCAATAGGAATTTTCAAAATATTATAAGTCCACATCATATCGCATCATGAGTGCTATCTTCAGGAATGACTATATTTTCTACGAGGGGTACAAGAAAGGCTCAAAAAATCGAACATCAATTTTTTCAAATGGAACACCCTGTATTTTATTGCATTTTCATAATCTCCTTGAAGAGCTGAATTCAACGACCTAGCACACTTGGGCTCTAGCGGGAATGATTTCCGAGATATAGGGTGTGGAAAATCGAGATTTTTCATTTTTGGGAATTTTTTGTGTCAAAACTATTCATTATTGGTCAAAACGGCTCACATGTTCATATCTTAACTTTTGATTTACTATCCACTCGTATTTAAATTAAACAAATACAGGGTGGTGTGGAATTCTCAGGTTCAGTCGGAATTCCACACCACCCTGTATTTGTTTCAATTAAATACGAGTGAATAGTAAATCAAAAGTCAAGATATGGACATGTGAGCCGTTTTGACCAATAATGAATAGTTTTGACACAAAAAATTCCCAAAAATGAAAAATCTCGATTTTCCACACCCTATATCTCGGAAATCATTCCCGCTAGAGCCCAAGTGTGCTAGGTCGTTGAATTTAGCTCTTCAAGGAGATTATGAAAATGCAATAAAATACAGGGTGTTCAATTTGAAAAAATTGATGTTCGATTTTTTGAGCCTTTCTTGTACCCCTCGTAGAAAATATAGTCATTCCTGAAGATAGCACTCATGATGCGATATGATGTGGACTTATAATATTTTGAAAATTCCTATTGGTGCAGAAGATATTTAACTGTCCCGCTGGTCTAGGGACACCCTGTATATTAATTACGAAATTGTATATAAAATATTGATAACTAATAGAAAAAATGTATGGGATTATGAAACAAAAAGTTTCGAATTCTTCTTTGAGAATTTGATAATGTGGGACATCCTTTATGAAAAAACAAAACCATACTAAATCGAATTATTTAACCATTATTGTTGTATTGTCTATCTTCTTATTATTCCTACTTACTTTTTACCAAAACAGATGCAGATTAAATGGGTGAATATACTTCAAGCAGAATAATGTCTAAAAGGCCAAAGTTGAATATAATTTAAATTTATTCTCCAGAGACTTGTTTGTTACCTTCACTCGATTTTCTCTGGATAAGTTTTTTTTTAACCGACAGGCACAGACATTTGCTTTTTTTTCTATTATTTACCTTTCAGATCTTGTTTAATTTGAATAGCAGATTTAAACTAGAGAAATCGAGGAAGTGTAACTGACAAAGAATTTTTGGCAAGAAACTAATCAAAATTTTGATTTTTTGCAGACTCCGCGCAGAAGCACGAGGAGGCAGAACTATAAAAAAAAACTAATCCTTCACAAAAATTGTTTTGGAAAGTTTAGCAGAGTTGATTTTTGCTTTTAGTTATTCTGCTGGACGTATATTTAGTAGTTTTTTTTACATTGTTGATAAATAATTACAAAAGCATTTATTTTATAATATTCATTATCAAGCAAACTTTACAAGTTTTTTTATACGTGCACCATTTTCTATTTAGTCGAAATTTTATTAGTTTGATTATCACATTTCTAGGTACAATTTGTGTATGAATTTGCAATGTTGTCGATTAATTTACTGCCATTTAGTGCATCAGAAAGGTGCATCTTTAGAAAACGCTCAAGTACATCAAAAATGTTAGAATCCATAGAAAACGTGCATTTAGGTAAAATCATAGGTGTACGTAGGTTGAGATACGTCAATTTGAATTTCATAGTACAAAAGTAGATTGCAGATGAACGATTCGACAATAATACTCTGCATTTTCATCATTAGAGGGTAGGATAAAAAAAACTTAATAAAATAAGATTTTGCACTTATCTGAAATGCCAGACGAATTCAAAATGTGATGTTTGTAGCCTTAAGTCAACAATGAAATATTGTATGCATAGATTGTCCAAACAGTGCCTCAAAATCATTTATCCTCAATCTATATTATATACAGGGTGGGCCACCAGTAACGCCTCGGTCTTTAGAAGGCTAACCACTTATCTTCTTGGAATTCTTCCTCTCTAGGAAGTTGCATGTCAACATAGGCTACCATATGAAATTATTTTGAAACATACAGGATGTCCCCAAAAATCACAAAACACTGAAGTTGAACTTTTTTCAATCGAACACCCTATATATTATTTCATTTTGGGATTCTCCCTGGTGAGCTGATTTCAACAATCCATCATACTTGCGGTCTAGCAGTTATAATTATTGAGATATAGGATGTGAGAAATCGAGATTTTCCAAGTTCAAGAATTTTTTGTGTCTAAACCATTCATAATTGGTCAAAACGGCTCACATGTCCCTATTTCAACTTTTGATCAACTATCTACTGACATTTAATTGAAACAAATACAGGGTGGTGCAGAATTCAGAATCTTGATCACCCGGTATATGTCCCAATTAAATATCAGTAGATAGTTAATCAAAAGTTGAGATAGGGACATGTAAGCCGTTTTGACCAATTATGAATAGTTTCGACACAAAAAATTCTTGAACTTGGAAAATCTCGATTTTTCACACCCTATATTTCAGTAATTATAACTGCTAGACCCCAAGTATGATGGGTCGTTGAAATCAGCTCATCAGGGAGAATCTCAAAATGAAATAATATATAGGGTGTTCGATAGAAAAAAAGTTCAACTTCAGTGTTTTATGGTTTTTGGGGACACCCTGTATGTTTCGAAATAATTTTAAATGGTAGCCTATGTTGACATGCAACTTCCTAGAGAGGAAGAATTCCAAGAAGATAAGTGGTTAGCCTTCTAGAGACCGAGGCGTTACTGGTGGCCCACCCTGTATATTTACACTATTTCAGGAAAAGTAGTTCAAATGACTTAATGCAGAAACGGTCTGGAAATACCAGAAGTTTTTTTAGGGTTTTCTCATTGAGCATTAGAATTACTTACCTATTTTTTAAGTTGTTTGGCACTGTTCTGACAATCTTATTTTGAAATCATTCAGTTGAAAGCGTTATTATATCAAGTTAACTTGATGTTTCCTATAAAAATCCATTATTTACAATTGTTGGTATTTACTTCAATTTTAAGTCTGTTTTTTTTTCATCGTATAATCAAATCATTACATATCAGTTATAATAATTGTTAATTAATAAAAAAACAATCACGAACGTGTTCCTTTTCTTTCACTTTCCAACTTACTTGACCTCGCGGTTTCATTCTTTATAATAGGTCCGTTCAAGAACGCAGTGGTTTTTGTGTACAGAGACCTAAATGTCGAACGCTCACTTGATCGTCCGTGTTCATCGGGCCTTCCGTTTGAGGTTACATATCGCTCTGCGCGACCGTTTTCCGAATCTAAATCGGATGGGGAAGTTTCCTCCAGATGAATTTTCATGAAATAAGTTCAGAAGTCCTACGATTTATTTTCAAAATACACCGATTTCTATTTTTCCGGCAGCAAAATGTGACGTACATGGACGGTGTCAGCTCTCTCAATAACCGCTGTTATAAGGGCGCTCATACCGTCCAACCGCGATATGTTAACTGAAGACTAGTGTACATTCTTCTGAATCTAGTATGAATATAGCTGATGATGAAGAATGAAGGTAGCGAATAAAAATAGAAGAAGACGACTTGGCGTCGTTGTTGATTAGAGTGGCGACAATAGACCTCAAGATGGCTGTCGTTTACGGAATGGCATTCGTGGTCAAGTCACTGAATAGCTGCAAATCGGAAGGGCATCTCTCATGCAGTAATGAATTTGCGCCTTCGAAGTGCCCACCTGATGTTAGGTTTAGATATTTGATGCTTTCATTTCATCATCTAAATAAATCTAAGACTTACGAGTCCCTTAAGACGGATACTGATAATTAATACCCAAGTTATCGACGTATAGAGTTTAATGTCTGCTTGTTAGATGTTTTTTGTCTAAAGAGCTAAAAACAGTGACAAAGCGTTGACGAAGTGGAATAAAATGCGTAGAACTGAGTGGAGAAAACAAGACAGGCGGCCTGATCAATCAAAAAGTGTATCACTATTGTCGCCACTCTGTTTTAAGTCAGTGGACGGTCTCAAAAAGTATTAGGCGCTGTTGCAAGATATAATCTGTAACATTTCTAGAAAATAGATCCGTTTCATAAAGGAACGAATTCATTTGCAAAATAATGACTGACAAGTTATCATTTCGTAATAACACGAAAATTTATAGAAGTTGCAAAATATCATAATTTATCTTCATTAGTAATCAACTTCATCCAGCAAACGAGATTTGTGGAAATCGTTCGTAATATGCTGTTATTGTATAGTTATATAATGTATTTCAAGAACAAATTCCGGAAATCTAGACATATTGATCATGCCGGCAACGTCGTTCTGACACAGGAAATCGTATTCAAACTCTGTGTGATTGTAGCTTTTCATAAAGTAAGTCATAGGCATAGTGAAAAAGCCAAGTTCATTATTTTTTTATGAAGTGGAATTTGATCTCACGAAAAAAAAGAAAAAATACGTATGCGAGGTGCATATATTATAATATAATATTATATAGTACATACAGTGTGTCCCACTTACCATGCTGACCATGGGTATCTTTTTAACGGTGAGAGATACGAGGTCGGTTAAATGACACAAAATGTGGAGTTGGTCAGGGCCAACTATAATGTGAACAAATATTCTGATGAAATCTATTCGTTTTTGTTTTATACGCAAAAAACAGATTTTGATCATTTTCATGTCTCCTCCGTAACTTCTTTATTTATGGAAATATTCAAATAGGAATTTCACATTCTCATGGCAGTTTTTCTAAGTGATCTACATACAAGTGAGCTACATTTGAAAAACTAAAGTTGGTGCTGATATCTCAAATTCTAGAAGAGTTGGTATAAATTTTATACATTTTTCGAAATCACTTTGAAAAACTGCCATGAGAATGTGAAATTCCTATCTGAATATTTTCATAAATAAAGAAGTTACAGAGGAGACATGAAAATGATCAAAATCTGTTTTTTTGCGTATAAAACAAAAACGAATAGATTTTATCAAAATTTTTTCACATTATAGGTGGCCTTGACAAACTCCACATTTGGTGTCATTTTTTTAACCGACCTCGTATCTCTCACCGTTAAAAAGATACCCATGGTGAGCATGGTAAGTGGGACACACTGTATAATGTATTTCAAGAACAAATTCCGGAAATCTAGATATATTGATCATGCCGGCAACGTCGTATTGACACAGGAAATCGTATTCAAACTCTGTGTGATTGTAGCTTTTCATAATTTAAGTCATAGGCATAGTGAAAGAGCCAACTTTTTTTTTCATAATTTTTTTATGAAGTGGAATTAGATCTCACGAAAAAAAAAAGAAAAAATATGTATACGAGGTGCGTACCTATATTATATATAGTACATAATATATATTCAGCACATTGATATGATACAGTCGAATGAATATTTCCATGATATTGGATTTTTCTAATTCTTTCAATCAACCCAGAATTTCATCATGAAAATTGAACAAAAAACGGGGAAAAAATCAAGTGCGTCACTTTAAAATTGAACTCCGCTTGATTGGTCCTTCTGTACGGAAATTTTAACAGAGGTGACGTCAGAATTTCACGGTTCTCGCCCCAAATTTAATCATCTCTATATTTTTTTGTTGGTGCCATTCGGTAGTATACGTCAAGCTTCCTCAGGGTTTGAATTATTTGAACTTTTATCAATGCCACCCTGTATATGAAATTTTGACAAACTTCACAACGAGATAAAAACCTCAATATTGGAACCTTCCCCGTGTCCACGATGAGAAGATATAGGAGCCATTTCAAGGATGTTCAAAAAAATACTGAGCGTTCACTTAACACATATTTATTGACCCACTAAGTGTACAAGGAACATTCGATAAAATCTACACTAAAAATAGTAACACAGTGCGCAGTGACGAAATTGTTAGAGTCAACAATAAATAGGAGGCGAGTCTTGCCACGAATTTGACAGCTGTCAACTTAGCGGCAACACTGCAGGTTTGGCTATCTAAAATGACTGGCTATAGATAATTCATGCTATAGATCCTCCCTAGCGTCCGATGTTGCTGCCTGATTTTGAAGGATGCTTACCAAATTGCTAGAGAATGTCGAGTGTATAGAGCGTTGCAATTCGTTCAGAGATTCTTCTGCCTGAAAACATTGCTGGATATTTTCATTATTTTCTCGCAAACGGAAATTATACGAGGTTATTGGGATTTTAACCTTCATTTTCCCGCGTTGTCATTCTGTCAAAAATGATATGATTTTGACGCCAAGTGTGATATGTCAAAATATTAATTTGGCCAAAACGACTCGGAAGATATGTTTCTACCATATTCGGTTGTATAAACAGATAATCATATGAAATTCAGTCACATAATTAAATGAACAATTATTGTAACCTTCAATACTACTACCAAATAATCACACTTGATGATCACGTGATATATGCCGTCAGATGGCACATTGCTTAGCATTCAAACTAAATTGGTCAACTGGCACGAGTATGGAAAGTGTCATATTTCCCACAAATTCACTAACCTACACCAGTTGAGCAATTTTATGCCAAAAAAGCCGCTTTGTAACGGAGATATGCCAAGAAAACCGAAAGGACCCCGCAAATTTTCAAGGTAAATTGGGTCCTGGTGGATTTTTCTCAATTTTTGGTATGATGTAGTTGATGTGGTTCTATAAAATATTTTCATTGAGACACCCCCAAAAATGGACAGTTTCTTTGCCAGGGGGGGTTTGAATTCATATTTTGATCGAATTGACCAATTATTTCCGAGAAAATGAATGATATTCCAAAACTTTTTATTCCATTCTATTATCTACTTCTAAAAATAGATTCTTCATGAAAAAATATAATGGGGGGGAATAACTATCCCCAACCTCTATTTTGAAAACAGAAAACTGTCAAAAGTGATAGAAAATGTTTCTACTATTTGATAATGAATAGAAAGATAACTCTTCTGAATATTGTATTCCTATTCCTTATTAATGATTTTTCATTCGGAATTATTGGGGGGGGGGGAGGTTCTCACCCCCAACCAGCGAGAAAAAAAATCCGTGCTACCGTGAGAAGCATAAGAAAAATAATTTCTTGTAATTAATAGTAGATTGTTTTATTAGGATCAAAAGTGACACTTTGTTTGACAAGCGAATTTTGCATTTGCGAGGCGGAGCGTTTAGCGAAGCCGAGCGAAAGCAAAATTTGCGAGTCGAACAAAGTCACTTTTGATCCGAATAAAACATGCTATTTTTTCTGCAACCGAAACAATTAACTCAAATAAACATGCATGTGAAGTAACCACCAATGCCGTGCCATATGTATGCAATGCAACAAATATTGATAAATAATCCATGTGGTAAGAATATTCTACCTGCATTAACAGCAGGTTAGGTTTTCGAGGATGTTCGAATTGTAGTTTCAATATAAATACAACCACAGAGTGTCATATTTGTGTATGGATACCAGGTGCTCTAATGGCAAATACCGCGCCAGTGCCAGCTATATAGGAACAAGACGTGGAAAATGTTAGGTTAGTGAGCATATCAACAATGATAATGGTGATTATTTATTCCTCTCCATGTATTTGACTTGATAATCAAATAAAGCTAAACAATATCGTTTGAGACGAAAAAATATTGCTTGTCGTGATAATTCAAAAACAAGTTATCCATCCCGAGAATAACGAATGAAATACAGCGAGATCAAGCAAGTATTTGAATCTTGAAGGCTTCCCTGATTAATACAAAAATACTTAGCTGAGATGTTTATAATTCCAATACTAAACTATAATAAGGTGTATTCATCTCCAGCATGGGTATGAAATGCCAAATCTGCTGAAATCGGAAACAAATCAGGTATGCGTCTCAACCCAAATAACCAACCGTCACAATGTTGTTTATTCTTGATGACGTCCAGTACATCCTTTTTAGTTCCTAGGAGCTAAAGTTCAACTTTAGCTCCTAGGAACTAAAATTCAACTTTAGCTCCTAGGAACTAAATATGTTGCCTAGCAACATACCTATTTTTGTGTCAGTAATAGAAACGTCAATTTAAGAGCTAATTTTGGTATCAAAATGGACGACTTTTGTGTCGGTTGCAGAAAAACATTTTCTTATGCTTCTCACGATAGTACGGATTTTTTTTTCAAACTGGTTAGGGGGTGAGGACCCCCCCCCCCCAATATTTCCGAATGAAAAATCATTAAAGAATAGGAATACTATATTGAAAAAAGTTGTCTTTCTACTCAGAATCAATTGGTAGTCTATTTTTTTCAAAATGGTGATTTAAATCCCCCTATAGCAGAGAAACTGTCCATTTTTTAGGATTGTCACCCAATGATTTTCTGATCAGAATCATATGGACTACATTATATCAAAAATTCAGCGAAATCCACCGAATTTTTCTTCATTTGCACCCCCCATTTGATGGGGGGTAATAATGCAAAAATGCGGTTACCATAATTATCCGTGATGAAACATTTCCTATCCCTTTTCACAGTTAGATGGAATCCTTTTTTTGGTTTTCAAAATAGGGGTTATATTTTTTTTATAAAGAATCTATTTTTAGAACTAATTAAATGGAATGAAAAGTTTTGAAATATCGTTCATTTTCTCAGAAATAAATGGTCAATTCGATCAAAATGTGAATTCAAACCCACCTGGCAAATAAACTGCCAAAAAAATCAAGAAGAATATACCGGGACTCGATTTACCTTAAAAATTTGCGGGGTCCTTTCCTATGACATTTTTTTATCTATTTTTTCAAGTTACCAGTTGGCGTTTTCAAATTTGAAATCCGATGTTTCGTCTTCCAGGAACCTTCATTAACTTTTTTTTTAAACACGGACCTGGATTTTTGACTGTTTTGTTTACAAACATCGACATTTTCTCTATTTTTCCCGATAACCTATATGAAACCGGAATTTTGTGATAACTCATTGCTTTTGATATATTCAGACTGATAAACGCTTTCAAAGCCTAAGTCTTTGAAAACCTTATCAAGTCCTTTTGAGTACTTGAGATTGAAAGGGATTGATATTTTTCTCTGATTGTTTTTATCCGCTTGAAATGTCGTAGAATTCTACACACACACTTAAAAAGTCAGGAGTATATGAAATTAGTTGTAATGATCGTGATAAAACATATATAGGCCAAACTATGCGTCCCAGAAGAACAAGGTTCAAAGAACACATATTCATCCACAATCTTAACACACATATTGATAACTTCAAATTAGTCAAGCAAGATTTGGGCAATTTATATTAAAATATTGTGAGGAATCACCTCCTGAATTGTATCAAAGTACTTTCGAATCACCCTGTATTGAGTTTGTGCGCATTACAGGGCAGTGAATAACAAATATATTAGGGATCTTTTGAACAGAGCTGGAAATAAAGCATTAGTCACTTTTTATTTCTGCATGAGTACAAAGTGATAGACTGTCGCTTGTCAAACAGTAGTAATTTATGAAAAGTAGTTCAAACATACCTGCTTCAGTAGATGAATGGAATTTTTCAATAACTTCTGCCACTTTTGTGCCTCCACTGAATGCAAGGCTTCTTGATGCTGGAGAAGCTTTATCCATTCTTCATGGGTCTTCGGAGGACTTCTAAAAAAATTAAACAGGTATAAAGGAATATTCAGAAAACAAACATGTTTCTCAGTAAATTTTATTACTAATGTTACAATGTCTGAAATTCAATATGCGACCATCAAATTTTCAAGAATGAAAACTGTAAACAAGAGTTATAATTTTCCTTCAAATATTATTCAGGAGAAAATCAAGAGAACGTAAAAAATTTAATCAATTATCCTTCCTCATAAGGAACTAAATCTGATGATATTCACTTTTGCAACCAGATTTTATACAAAATGGAATGAATGTTAGTTGGTGACATAATTTGTTTCCACTTACTTCAATAAATGCATATCTAGGATACTATATGGAGGACCTTCTTCTAATGACCATAATTTATAATATAACATTATATTCAAAAACAACAGCAACAATAACACTGAGAATACTATCAATGTGCACACTTCCGTGCTGAAAATGCCATCACTACTTTTTTTCCTAGATGGGACACCTAAAACAAAAGTTTTTTTGTGCAAAATGAAAAATCAAGAAATCAGATGAAATACAGGATAAATCTTTTTGAAAAGTCATTATTTATTTATATAGGAATAGGATCTTGTTTGAGGGAGTACATACCTATAGGTAGGTAAACATTTCATAATTCAAAATACATTGTCAACAATAAAATGGCAAACAAAGAATGATATTTGTAGAAAAAGCATAGTAAAATAATATTACTGAAAATTGTATCCAATAGATCACCCTGTAACATGTACTACTGAAAACTACCCGACAAATTTCGTCAAATAATATCCCGACAACTGTTTTTATTGTTTTCAAAAATTGATTGAAAAGAAAATCACATAATTTTGAATAACAATAACTAATGCGTCTTTCTACTGAAGAAATTAATTAATTTCAACTCAACATTGCTATTTTTTATTTAGTTGAAATAAGGCAGAAATAAATATTTGTTTTGAACAAAGTGGTAGATTGTAGTAGAATTCAGCCAAGGCAATCAATCTACATTTGCTGCTGTGTGGAACATATTTTTTTCTTCAAATGTTATAAATAACTATTGTGTAATTTTTTATTAAAAACTCCATCATTTTGTGTTCACCCAATGTCAGTGTCAATTCTGATCACCAATTTCATTCAGATTACTAGGCAGAGAAAGTACACCTTCAGATTCTTTCTATGCTGCTTGGAGAAATAGAAGGTTGTTTTATTAGGATCAAAAGTGACACTTTGTTTGACAAGGGAAGTCAAACAAAGTCACTTTTGATCCGAATGAGACATGCTATTTTTTCTGCAACCGAAAGAATCAACTAAAATAAATATAAGTGAAGTAACCACCAATGTGACTCACTTCACAGATTATTTTAATAATATGAGTAAGTAGATAGACCAATTTACTTTGTTATGCACGAATTCAAAAGTACATATCCCGAAACGTGGATCCGTACCATATTTATGCAATGTAACGAATAATCCGTATGGTGAGAATATTCTACCTGATTTTACAGATCAGATTTATTAAATTTTCAAGGATGGTCAAATTGTAGTTTTAATTTAAATACAACCACAAGGCACAGAATGACCTATTTGTGTATTCCAGTGAATGCTTGAATCGATGAATTCATCTGGACCAGTCAGCCCTAATAGCAAATACCGCGCCAGTGCCAGGTAGAGGAAAAAGAAGTGGAAAATGTTAGGTTACTGAGCATATCAACAATAATAGGTCGCGTGCACGAAGACCGACCCTGGAGGCAAAATATTGAAACACAACCTCATTCTTCTGTGAATTATTGACACACAACCTCACTTTTTTATTTGGTTACAGAGGAATCAACAGGTTAAAATAGTTTTTCACAATATTTTGGCATACGAATCGTATTTCTTGCGTTATTCATTAATTCAAGCATGCCTTCCCATTGTGCTGTTGTACAATGCACAAAAAATGCAGCAAGAGACTAGGGAATATGATTATTCAGGTAAATAGTAATCTCACATAGTTAGCATTATGAAATGTTGTCATTCCTTATTAAAATTCCTTCTGCCTTCTGCCACTTCTGCAATACAAGCTAATGCTGCTAATAGATTGAAAATGTCTACAACACACACGATCGTCAGCATGTCAGACCAGTCCTACCGATTGATTGCATGAATCCAATCTTCTTGCATTATTCTAGAAATTTCAGGTATATTTCTATTAGCTGATCCTATTGCAGAAGGAATTCCGATGAGAAATCAGAGAAATAACCAAATTTCAAAAATGAAAACTATGTGAGTGACTATAGTAGGTACTTACTTTTGAATCATAATGTACCATCCGGATTTCTTCATCTTCCGCTGCAGTTTTTGTGCATTTTACAACAGCACAATGTGATGGCATTAGCGAATTGATGAATAGCGGAAAAATACGATTCATATGCCAAAATAATTGTGGAAAACTATTTGGATCACTTGTAAACAAATATGTTTTGCCTCCAGGGTCGGTCATCTGACAGTTCTTGCACGCGACCTATGGGCGTGTACACCTTATTAGAACTTTTAACTCAAACCATGTTTATAATGATCGTTTTATACATAAATACTGATTGACGACATAACTAGATCGAAAAATTGACTGGAATGTTTTATTTTTGGACATAAATAATAGTACCATCTGAAAACGGACCCACTTATGACGTAGAAACGATGTTGTTTATTCTTGATGACCTAGTACATCCTTATTAGTTCCTAGGAGTTTTAGTTCAACTTTAGCTCCTAGAAACAAAACGTGTTGCCTAAGCAACATACCCATTCCTATGTCAGTAATAAAAACATCAATTCAAGAGCTAATTTTGGGATTGAATCGGACGTGTTTTGTATTGGTTGCAGAAAAAATATATTTTGTACAGAAAAAATAAAGAAACTTGATTCAATGGATTGAAACTTACTTTCTTCAACAGCCAACTTGGGTAAGGTGTGCATTCGCCTTTTCCTTCTGGATTTTCTTTTCAGTTCCGGAATGCTATCTTCACCTTCTGCGTGTAGGGCTCTTGTCAAGTGAGCGCAGAAATCTTCGAGACCAGCGAAACAATTTCTTTCGATCATACCTGCAAAAAAAACGATTCAACACATTATGTACAGGGTGTCCCAAATGAGAGGGGTATCATAGGGATCTCGGTTACCATAACAGATACATTGTCGGTTATATTAGGGCAAAGTTGAGCAATTCGATGCTGCTAGAAGAGATAGACCAAAATGAATTTGACATTTTTGCAGTCTTTTTTTATTCTCTGAAAGATGCCGTCATCAGATTTTTAATCCAACGTTTCGATTCCTTGTAACCATCATCAAATAACACTGATGATGATTTTTTCATCCGAAACGTCGGATAATTGTAAAGTTATAATATGTCATTGGACTTTGGACGACTTTGTATCTGTTATGGTTACCGAGATCCCAATGATTCCCCTCGAATTTGGGACACCCTGTACAGTGTGTCCAGTTTTCGATGCTTTTGTGTGATATCTCAGTTATCTTTCGAGATAGAACCTTGCGGGTTTCGCGATCGTGTGCCACTTTTTTGTGAAACTCAAGATGGCCTAATCAGATTTTGCATAACTGTTTCCGTTTATGAGATACAGGGCGATTTTGAAAATTTATACTTTTTGGACCCCCTCTATATCTACGAAGTTTCCCAGCAAAAATGTCAAATTCAAATCTCATCCCATATGAAAGTTTACGCAGAATCCAGTGGCGCACTCAAAATTTTTTTTCGGGGTAAGGTTTTGGAGATACGACTCAAACTTATGTTTTTTTAAATGGAACACCCTATATTTTATAAGCTCATAAAATTCCTTATTTTTTTCTCTTTAAAATGATTCATAATGTATGTATATGAAATTTTCAAAAATGCTCTGAAATCACTGAAACATTGAATTTTAATTGTGGGCTATTGATTTTTCTTATAAAAAAGTTTCAATTGAAGAAATATTCATTTTGATTTCTCCATAAAGAGGACAAAAACAATACCAACACTAATTAACATGAATTAACTAAGAAAACACAAAAATTATGTACCTGATAGCAATAAATAAATAGTAATAAAAATTTCATAATGTAGAATAAGCACCAGATTGAATATTTACAAATACAATTGAATTTCGGAATCATTCAATAACTTATTCACTGAATTGTTCATATTGATGTCCATTTTCCATAACACACAATTGACATATTTTCTCAATACGTCTTGATACAGTAAGAGTCACAAATATCTTGAAGAACTTCGTGCAACAACAGATGCAGTTTTCCAGGAATTACAAAGACATCCTTTAATGATTTTGAATGCTCTAAGACGTATTGAGAAAGCATGTGAGGGAAAGTGGATATCAATTTGAACAATTCAATGAATAAGTTACTGATCAATTTCGAAATTCAATTGTCTTAGTGAATATTAAATCAGGTGCTTATTCTAGAATATGAACTTTTTATTACCATTCATTTGTTGCTATCAGGTACCTAATTTTTGTGTTATCTTAATTAACTAGTGTTGGGATTGTTTTTGTCCTTTTCATGGAAGAATCAATTAAAATATTCTTCAATTGGAACTTTTTTTAAATGAAAAATCCATAGCCCACTATTAAAATTCATGTTTCAGTGATTTTGGAGCATTTTTGGAAATTTTATACATATTCATCATATTTCATTTTGATGGGGAAAAAATAAGGAATTTAATGAGCTTATAAAATACAGGGTGTTCCATTTGAAAAATCATAAGTTTGAGTCGTATCTCCGAAACCATACCCAGAAAAAAAATTTGAGTGCGCCACTGAATTCTGCGCAAAATTCTGTATGGGATAAGATTCCAATTTGACATTTTCGCTGAGAAACTTTGTAGATATAGAGGGGGTCCAAAAAGTATAAATTTTCAAAATCGCCCTGTATCTCATAAACGCAAACAGTTATGCGAAATCTGATTAGGCCATCTTGAGTTTCACAGAAAAGTGGTACAGGACCGCGAAAACCGCAAGGTTCTATCTCGAAAGATAACTGAGATATCACACAAAAGCATCGAAAACTGGACACACTGTACTGTGTTTGTATTTTTCAAGAATGAAGAAAACTTGAAATTTGCACGATTTGAAAGATGTTGCCCACTTTTCAAAGACTCACCTTTCACTAAACCCCACACGGATTTTTTGTACTTGACTTGCGCAAAAACGTTCAAGCTACTTTGCGTATCGGAAACTTTTTGGAGACAGTAGTGGACCAGGACGCTGAAACTGTCCGCGTAAGGCACCCCCGCATTGATCGATTCGATCTCCACCGAGTAGAGATGACCGGCTTTACTGCACGGAAGCATAACCTACAAATAAACGGATATAAATTGAAAGTAAAAAAATTCAATAATAGTAGATTGTTTTATTAGGATCAAAAGTGACACTTTGTTTGACAAGCGAATTTTTCATTTGCGAGGCGGAGCGTTTAGCGAAGCCGAGCGAAAGCAAAATTTGCGAGTCGAACAAAGTCACTTTTGATCCGAATAAAACATGCTATTTTTTCTGCAACCGAAACAATTAACTCGAATAAACATGTGAAGTAACCACCAATGCTGTGCCATATGTATGCAATGCAACAAATATTGACAAATAATCCATGTGGTGAGAATATTCTACCTGCATTAACAGCAGGTTAGGTTTTCAAGGATGTTCGAATTGTAGTTTCAATATAAATACAACCACAGAGTGACACATTTGTGTATGGACCAGGAGCTCTAATGGCAAATACCGCGCTAGTGCCAGCTATAGGAACAAGACGTGGAAAATGTTAGGTTAGTGAGCATATCAACAATGATAATAGTGATTATTTATTCCTCTCCATACTACACTGTGTTTGACTTGATAATCAAATAAAGCTAAACAATATCGTTGTTTGAGACAAAAAACTATTGCTTGCCGTGATTATTCAAAAACAAGTTATCCATCCCGAGAATAACGAATGAAATACAGATCAAGCGAGTATTTGAATCTTGAAGACTTCCCTGATCAAACAAAATTACTTAGCTGAGATGTTTATAATTCCGATACTAAACTATAATAAGGTGTATTAATATCTCCAGCATGGGTATGAAATGCCAAATCTGCTGAAATCGGAAACAAATCAGGTATGCGTCTCAACCCAAATAACCAACCGTCACAATGTTGTTTATTCTTGATGACGCCCAGTACATCCTTTTTAGTTCCTAGGAGCTAAAGTTCAACTTTAGCTCCTAGGAACTAAAATTCAACTTTAGCTCCTAGGAACTAAATAGGTTGCCTAGCAACATACATATCTTAGTTACAGTAATAGAAACGTCAATTTAAGAGCTAATTTTGGTATCAAAATGGACAACTTTTGTGTCGGTTGCAGAAAAAAAGCTTTTATTCAAACGCTCTAAAAAAGAATAAAATAAAACGTTCCTTTATAATTTTAACTATCAACTTACCTCATTATACACAATTCATATGATCATAATAGCTTGTCACGCGATTTAATTGTGTGAATAAACTAGTACTAAGTCAATTTTCTAAAATCTGCTGAGTTTGAATGTTCAAAATTTCAATTTAATTAAATATTGATAATCGCGACAAGCCTTTATGATCATATAAATTGTGTATAATGAGGTTATAAGTTCATAGTTAAAATTATAAAGGAACATTTTATTTTATTCTTTTTAGAGCGTTTAAATGAAAACTTTTTATTAAAAATAATTTTTACTTCTAATTAATTTTTTAATTTTCAGTTATCGCTGGCTAGGTTTCTCAGTTTGTTCATTACATTCGACGCATCCGTGTTGCAAGGTCGTTTGCCGGTTAATTTCGCACAGTCCGGCTCTTCAATAAGGAAACCTAATGATTTTACCCTACTTAAAGCCACGTATGCTTAACCAGCAGCGAAGAGCTTCAAGCCTAAGTAAATAACGGCGTAGTCGACAGTACTACCTTGCATTTTGTGTACTTTACAAGCCCAACATAATACAATTGGCAGCATTCTTCGTTCCGCGGTTCTATGACTATATTTTGCTGGAAATTGCACAGACTTGGGCTGAATTAGGTGAATACCGTCTTTACCGAAGTTAATACGGACGGAAGTTATTTCATTCATTTGATACCCATATTGTTAAAGTAGATTACAAATAACTATTCCGCCATCTTGAATGGTATGCCATATTGGATTTAGAATGACGTCACATTATTTTCCGAGTTGCTCTCAACGAGCCCTTTCATTTGATACCCATATTGTAGAAGTGCATTAAAAATTACTATTACGCTGTCGTGGAAGGTCCACCATATCAAATTAAAAATGACGTCACATTATTTTTCGAGTTACTCTCAACAAGTCCTTTCATTTGATACCCATATTGTGGAAGTGCATTAAAAATAACTATTTCGCCATCTTGGATAGTCTGCTATATTGGATTCAGAATGGCGTCACATTATTTTTCGAGTTACTCTCAACGAGCCCTTTCATTTGATACCCATATTGTAGAAGTGCATTGAAAATAACTATTCCGCCATCTTGGATGGTCCGCCACATTGAATTCAGAATGACGTCACATTATTTTTCGAGGTAGGTACTCCCAACGAGCCCTTTCATTTGATACCCATATTGTGAAAGTGCATTAAAAATAACTATTCCGTCATCTTGGATGGCCGCCATATTGGATTTGGAATAACTTCACACACCTTATCGTGCATAGTCATCCAAACTAAACGTGTATACAGAATTTCAGCTCAATCGGTTGAAGATATCTACTTCAAAATTGAGTTCAAAGATCGCAGAATGTTCACATTGATTCATTGACCTAATATTTAGATTAATATTTCCCTACATTCACCCTATATTGGTTCAATATTCAACCAATATTAGTCCCTCCGCACACGGGTCGATCGGCGACATGGGCGACGCGATTCGAATCGTACGACTGTCTCCCCTCTACTCGACTTCCTAAGCAAAGCATTTGGATCCCGCACACGGGTCGTTTAGTGATCGTCTAGAAACGTACGATTTAAGATCTCGTTTTCAGTCGCATGCGATTAGCAAGGAAGCAGTTTGATCGAGTGAATCGTGCGTCTCAATGGAGAAAGTTGTTCAATAATTTTTCAATCATTGTGATTATTTTTGTTACCTACCTTGAGTTCTTTACTTTCAGTAACTTGAACATATAATCTTATGTTTCCTATTCATACTCTCAAATTTAGGAACTGTTTGATTTTTTGAAATATAAGAATCTTATACCTCAATGTTATTAGTATGCGTTCTTCTGCGCTGACACATTCCCTCATATTTGTATCCACATAATTTATGGCTGGAGCAAGAGTTTCCACTAGATCAATATATGATTCCTTCGACATTCTATAAATTGCAGCAACAAGAAGTCGAGTGTGAAAATTTCGTGCAATGTTCGGATGCACCCATAACTTCGTTGTCTTCTTCTTCTCCTGATCTGCCGGTGCCACAAAAACATGACTATGTCCTCCTCTTCACTGGAACTGCTCATTTCTAGCGAAAACTTTCTGTTTGAAGTTGCAAAAAGGAGAGTAACTAACTTGATCAGACGCGAGTCGACTACACAAAACGTCGACCCATATGCGGATGACACACACTCCCTTCTCTTGAATCGTACGAATGAAGAAATTGTGACGTCATTGCAATCGCGTCGCCCATGTCGCCGATCGACCCGTGTGCCCTAGGGCCTTTGTGTTCTATCTGGGACACATTTCTTCACTGAGAATCCAAAGCCCAAGAATCTTTCTCACCCAAAAAAAAAACCAAAACGGATTGAAGAAAAGAAAAAATCATTCTCACTTGAGTCTCGGTGACCTGGGCCGACTTGGGCCCCATCGTCTGCCCCAAACAAACCGTCGAAGACACCACGCGACTCTTGCTGCCGTCCAGCGGATCGTGCGTCCACGGCGTCTGCGCCAGGTCGGTGGTCTTCCGCGCCGCATGGAAGTCCAGGAAGAACTTGGAGCCGGTGAAGAGCAGCGTGAACAGCTGGTCGACGTGCATCGGGATGATCTCTTCGGCCAGGTGGCGGCCCTCGTGGGGGCACGTGCACCGCGGGGGGGCCAAATCGGACCTGCGAAGGTTATACAGGGTGTCCAGACAAAAAACCGACCAAACTGATGGGATTATAGGGACTATGGAAACTGCCAATAGGATTCCCGGTCGCTAAGGTCAGTAGTTGAAGTGCGATGACATTAAAAACGAAGGGGGGGGGGCAAATCGGACCTGCGAAGGTTAAACAGGGTGTCCAGACATAAAACCGACCAAACTGATGGGATTATAGGGACTATGGAAACTGCCAATAGGATTCGCGGTCGCTAAGGTCAGTAGTTGAAGTGTGATGACATTAAAAACGAGGGGGGGGGCAAATCGGACCTGCGAAGGTTATACAGGGTGTCTAGACATAAAACCGACAAAACTCATGGGATTATAGGGACTATGGATACTGCCAATAGGATTCGCGGTCGCTAGAGTTCCTAAATGTACTTGACACTGCGGTTTTGACGTTTTTCGTATATCAGAGTACAGACACTAGACAAGCAGAGACAATCAGACATAACCACAAACGATTTTGAAGCAAATCATATGTTTTGCCAGACAAGGACTAGAATATGTTTTTCGCTTAGATAAAGGATCCTCGCATCTTCCTTCCACCACAAATGCTGGGAAGAGTACGTCCATATTATTTCACTGTCTTTGATTCTTGTATGGGAGTGCATAGCGTCTCCTCGAGTCCTCGAGTGGGTAAAGGGTACGATAGATTGATTATAAAATTATTTCTCCTCGAAATATTGAATGATAAGGATGAAGGACCTCAATAGAGGTCGATATCAAGTTGGTATGTACAAATATACCAACGAAATAAATATACTATTCCTATGAAATAAGTCTCTTATATGTAGGTATATATATACGTTCAGTCAGTTGAATATTTTTTCAACACAAAAGTTCGGAATGGGATAAAAACTGAAAAATTTCAACCAATGAAACATACTTGTATTTCTCTGAAGATATTTGCTGATTCTGTTTTATATCTCAAATAATTTTCAGGTAATAGTTCTGAATTTTGCTAACTCTGACTCTTGTATCTAAATCTTTTTCCTTCAACTTATTTTCCGACTCTCTATTTTTTTCTTTTCTTTGTTTCCTATATTCCTCACTCTCTTCCACTCGTAAACCTTGGATGTTTGAATATTCCTGCTCTAAAACCTTGGATTTTCCAATATCCCTGCTCTAAAAATTCGATTCGAAAGTTTTTTTTTTCAAAATATGTTCGAAATGAATTTAATCATCTGCAAGTTAATCGTTTCTTGTTGGTTCTAAATTGAAATAAGGTTCTTTTCGATACTCGCTCAGTTTATAAATTGTGGGTTCAGCTCTTTCTCTCAATACGATCCTATTCTGTTTCCGTTTCTGTAGAGTAACGTTATCCGATGGAAATTCGAATAGAATGAATTAATTTCCCGTGTTCTCACAGTTGGAAACTCCACAAACTTATTTCTCCAAATTCTCTCAATTTGTCAAACCTTTGAAATGTATGTCATGTACGTCCGTGTACTGTCATTTCCCGTTTTTTTCCATAAATTTATTTGTGGTTATGTCTGATTGTCAGTGCTTGTCATAGTGTCCGTACTCTAATAAGCAAGAAACGTCAAAACAGCAGTGTCAGGTACATTTAGGAACTCTAGCGGTCGCTAAAGTCAGTAGTAGAAATGCGATGACATTAAAAACTAGGGGAAAACATGTCTCTAGCGATAAACCTTTTTAGGGACTCAAGGCTTTATTCATCATGAAACTTATGTGAAAGTATCACAAATAATAAGACGTCAAAATGTCAGAATGACATAAACTAATAACAGATTAGGTGATTATCGAATGTCACCACATTCTTCCTCCCAACAATAATTCATCTCATAGTCCTTCAATCTTTCTGGCAGACGACGATTTCTAGATGAACGAGGGTGAGAACTGTCTTGAAAAGTGGATGAAGTGGGAGTAGACTCATCAAGAACAAGATTCTCTCCAGTGGTAGGAGGATCTGGATATCCTTGATCAATAAGTGGATCTTCAGGATAGTCTGCGTGGCAGGTGGCTCTTGATTTTCTTGATTAGCAAGTTGATATCCAGATTCTTGATTATCCAATTGGTGTTGGTATGAGGTTAAGTCATTTTCATTAAGCATTGGAGGAAGTTCCGGTTGTATTTCTACTTGGCCGTTGGGAGCCAAATGTTTAAGGGATACGGTTGTCTGCCTTCCATAAGTTCCACTTCTTCTAACAGTGGGTCAAATTTAATTGATCGCACATGTTTCTTCATGAGTACTTCAGAAGAAGGAACTAACCAGGAAGGTAGAGAGCAGCCATTGGCCATGCATGAACATCCTTTCATGGGGTGTTTCGTTAGTTGCTGTGCAAAGGAGAGATCTGATGGAATGAAGCGCATCTGGGAGACCCATTTCCCAATTGGATACTTCCAAGATCCTTTGTTTCAGGGCGAGAGACATCGTTCGCCAAATAGTACCATTCTCGCGCTCTATCTGTCCATTTCCGGGGGGATTGTACGGAGTTGATTGAGAGGTCGCCACACCGCGTGTGTGAAGAAAATTTTGAGAGGAAGGGACGCCGAACAATGAAGAGAAGTCAACGAGACAATTGATCACAGTTGATGCCGGCGATGAATACTCATCAATGATTGTAAGAAGATACTTATTACGAGACTTAGATGGAAGTGGGCCTTTGAAATCCATGCTGAGTCGCTCGAAAGGATGAGTAGCTTTGATGAGATGTGAATTATTGTTTTTATAGAATCTTGGTTTCACTGCGAAGGGCACGATAAAGTAATTTTACGCACTTCTTCGGCAGGAAATGGAAGGTTATGAGTTTGCACCCAGTGTATCATCCGAGTTACACCAGGATGACACAATTCACAATGAAGTGAGTGGAGTTTTCTTGCTTGAATGGAACTGCATACCCTCGAAAAGGCATCTGCAACTTGATTTTGTTTCCCTGGCCTATAAAGAATATCATAATTTTAGCAGGAAATTTCTAAGCGCCACCATTGAATTTTTTCACTTTTGATTTTGTTGCGATGGTTCATCATGTCAAACATAAATGATACAAAGCGCTGGTCGGTTATTATCTGAAAATGACGACTCATACTTAGTAGGCCAATCCAACCGTGTTAATAAAAAAATAGGTTTTTATTCAAAATAAGAAATTTGGTGCCGTCTTTTGGCACACCCTGTATAGCTGGAGGACAAAAAATATTTCAGGTTGATTGGAAATAATTGACTACAACAGCATACCAAGTTTTTAATTCAAGTTGGAAAACTACTAATGTGTCGTCTACGTGAATCACCCTGTATATAGACAGTCAGTTCCAAGATCATATAAGCCTGAAAATTCTTCATGATTTTTAAAATTTATGAAATAAAGAAAATACTGAAGTTTTTTTTTTTCATGAATTTCAACCATACTAGGTCAGGTGAATATTTTGTTAGTAAAACCATACTGTTATTCAAATAATCTACTAGAAGCGCATTATTATGTTTTGGTAAGTAAAGCCAAGTTAAACGTGTTGAGAGAAAGCATGCTGGTTTTAGTTATTTTGACATCACCAGTAATCATGTAGACTTCAATTCAAAATTCAAAATTGATAAATTACATTTTATATTCAATCAGAGCTATCAGTCTTTCTATCTAAAATTTTCAGAAGACTGGTGGTAGTATTTCTCATTCCAAATTGCATTTTGAAACCTTTGAAGGAACAAAATATGGCAAATTCAATTTGAACAACTGCTAATTGATTCTAATTTTTCGAAATCGAAAATAAAGTAGATGAATTGGTTTACTGCAAATGAATTTTTTATATTGGCAAGATGATGTGCATGAGCATATCAGAAAGCTAACATCTTTCATAATTATTTTACAAAGATAATGTATTGTTAAAACATGCCATATAGGTGAATCATCGATATCCAAACACTTTTAACAGATAAGACAACCACAAAACTCACTTGAACCCTTCCAAATTAACTTGGGGATCATCAGAATCAGGGGTAGTTGGGAGGGGTAAAGGCTCCTTCAGGAAATACTCCCTCGGGAAAGAAAAAGAAAACTTTTTTCTGAAAAAACCAACAAGGATGAAACAGTATTTTTCGTCAAATTACTTAAAAATATTTTTTTCCACTCTTGGATCTCACAAAAGACAATCCCTATTTCATATTCAAGCTTTTCAGGGAGAAACTCACTTTACTGTTCGTTCGGCATCCGATTCGGAATTATCCGTGACATCTGTGGGCAAGCGTGGTTCGGAACCACACCTCTGAGGCCCCATGGTATGAGGCGTCCTATTCTCCTCGATTTCCATCCTGTCTGAGGTACTGACAGAGTCCATGGTACCGTCCATATACGTGGTACACTCCTAGCAAACAGAAATCCCACTTTACACAGGGAGTGCCGCAAGGATCCGTTCTCGGACCAATCCTCTCTCTGATGTATTTCAATGAAGTAGGTCAGTGTACGGAGCATTTTTCAATCAGCTGCAGATCATATTGGAAATGATCAGAAGATACAAAATTGGTGTGATGATGAATTGCTACTGAACAATGCTCCTAAATGACCTTGACACTACTTTAAATTTGAATCAGAGCTACTAATATGAAGGTATGAGATGTGGTATACACATTTGTTAGTATGGTGGTTTACCTCAGTGAATGATTCAACTGACAATCGTACTGAGAGTTTGTCCTCCTCTAACGTTGGAGAAATGTAATCTTCGTCGTCACTGGTGAGGCCCAATTCACTGCCATAGCATTGGTGAACCTGCAACAAAGCATAACAACTATAATCCAGTTTTACATCAAAATCCAGATATTTATAATGCCATCTGCAACATACATGTGAGGGCCTGAGGACTGACCCCTGAAGAACTCCAAGATGATTGACATCTGTCAATACTCAATCTGATGTTAAACAAAATGATCGATACTACTCAATGAATGGTTCTAAAAAACAGACGATAGCAAGTTTACGGTAATGTAATCTGCAAATACTAATATGAATAAGAAAGGGCCCAAGAAATGATCTCTAAGAAACTTTGTCTGACCTAGATTCAATATGATGTCATCTGCAAAACATACATGTGGATACCCGAGGGACCAAGGACTGACCCTTGAGGAACTTCAAGCCAGGTATCGCCTAAACTCGATCTAATGGGTGAGCAAAATACTAAAATAGATTGAATCGTACCCGTTGCCATATTTCCTGCGCGGTCATTGGTCCACAAGGTATCTGAATATAGAATAAAACAAGGATATGAACATTGGATACTGCTCAATAGAGAGTCATTCATAGTGGTGACTCCTGCAAACGTAGGGCCCAAGAAAAGACTTGCTCATGAGGAAAACCAAACTTGGGGAAGCTAAAACTTGATTTGTTGTAGAATAATATGATAAAATGAGAAATCTATCCTACCCATCACCAACTGTGAACCATTTTTACATTGATATCCTGTTCTTTACAGCAATATCATCTGCCAAAATACATACAAACAAGGGCCCAAGAAATGATTTCTAATGAACTCCAAGCCTGACATCGCCTAGATTCATTATGTCATCTGCAAACATACATATGAATTCTTGTGGGCCCAAGTACTGACCCCTGAGGAACTCCAAGCCAGTTATCGCCCAAACTAGTTCTGATGAGCAACACAAAAGATGACTGGATCGTACCTATTGCCACACGCGGGATTATATCAAGTAGGTCTTGTCTCTGGCCACAAAGCTGGTGAAGAAGAACTTGTCCTGTTCGGTACTGATCAAGACTGAGTTCGAGATGAAGAATATAATAAGGAATTGAATATTGGATTCCACACAATAGTTATTCATAGTGGTGACTCCTGCAAACGTAGGCCCAAGGAAAGACCAAACCTGAAGACACTTAAACTTTAAAATGATTTCTAAGGAACTCCAGTCCTGACATAAATTAGATTCATTATGTCATCTGCAAACATACATATGAATTATTGTGGGCCAGTGATCGCCTAAACCCGATCTGATGGGTAAAGAAAGAGGTAAACTAGATTGAATCGTACCCATTGCCACATTTCCTGAGCGGTCATAGGCTGATCCATGAGGGCGTTCTGCCACACGCGAAACAACATCAAGTAGGTCTTGTCTCTGGCCACGAAGCTGGTGAAGAAGAGCTTGTCCTTTTTGGTGCTGATCAAGACTGCGTTCGGGATGACCAGAGCCGTCTTTTCCTTGGTGATGGCCGCGACGTCCTTCCATTTCAACGAGATGTTCGTCTCCCAACCGAAAATGTTGGCGTAGAAGCACAGGTAGTTTTGCGTGACGTAAAGGCGGCCTTGATGGAGGATTTCTTTTTGCAGAGCGCAAGAATAATCTGAGGAGAAACGATAGTTTGAAGTGTTTACCTTGATGTTTGGTAGCCTTGATGTGTGGTATCTGTTTGAAGTTTGGAGTGGTACTGGATAAAGAAGCTTTTTCGTTTGTTAATCTTATCTGATCATGGGTAAAAAGTTATGAATATTTATTTATGGTAGATGAGATATTCTGAGAGGAATGTGTGATACACATGGAAGAATTTTTATGATATTTGCTATCAGATATTTTGTTTATATAAAAAAAGTCGTTAATTTATACAAATACCTGACAAGTGCCACTATAGATATAGATATAAATCTATACCAAAAAATCTATATTCTCCAAAAACTGCAACATGCAACAAATCATGTTTTTATAGTTATTTTTAGATAATATAAAAATATATTTATTACCTTTGTTAATTGTACTCAATGAGAAAATGAATTTTAGTTTGTCAGTGGAAGAAAAAAAAATTACATGATCATGGACAAGTTTTCAACTTTTTTGATAATGTTTATATTATAAAAAAAAATGTATATTATTATTAATATAGTATGCTGATATGTATGTTATTTTAAAAATGAATAAAATAAATGAATATTTCAAATAACTATCCAACAAATAAAAGTTTTTTGAAATCGGCCAGATAATAACGTTTTTGCTGTAGACACACGTCCAAAAAGTAATAGAATTAATAAATAAATAAATAATAATTAAAATTTTATTGATTCATTCAGATATCCATAGAATGTATAGAACAAGTCGGATTGTATAGAACATACAAAAAACAAATACATCAATTACAAATAGTGATATTACAGATAAATTATCACATCAGAGGTACAAAAACATTTAAAATTCTGCTGAACGTCGTCCAATAGACTCTATATCGCAGTCTGACATAAATTCCCCAATGCTATGATAGCCTTTGGAGGATAATAAAAACTTAGGATCGTTAAAATTTTATAGTTTTATGTTTCGGGATGTACAGAAGATTACCATTTCATCTAGAAGGATAGTTGTGGTAATGTGAATTCGCTTCAAATTTGGAGATGTTATCTTCAATACTTCAATATACAATAATAATAATAATAATAATGATTTTTATTATTCCCAAACAACATACACTGTGTCCCAGCTAAAATGTCCCCCCTGTAAAAAATCAACCGCGCGATTGAAAGACTTGAAATTTGGTCACCCAGTATTTTTGATGATGCTCACTTGAAATATGCTATTGAATAAATCGTAGGTATACAGGGTCACACCGAAGTGCACCTTAACTTTCCTATTTGAATGGGGACACCCAGTATATTATTCCATATTCAAGTAGAGTTCATTATTACAAATTCAACAATGCCGGGTTCGGTGATATTTCTTCAAACGACTACGAAGATATGGCAAAAAATAAAACGATTCAATAAAAAATTTATATGATTAGATTTTATTAATATAAATCGAATAAAAAGAAAATAATTAAAACCTCGACTGCTCAATATATCGTCCAATCTGCTTCAAACATTTTGTAGCTCTCTTGATAATGTTCATTGTGACCCTATATATCACGTTGCGATCAATTTGTGCGCATAAATTTGTGATTTTCTCTTTCATTTCTTCAATATTCACAATTGGCGACTCAAAAACCTGTTGTTTCAAGTAGCCTCACAAATAAAAATCAAGTGGGGTGAGGTCTGGCGACCGAGCTGGCCAGTTGCTATCACCATCGAGACAATTGGTGGTTATTAGATTTTCTCCAAACCGATGGCAAAGATAATCCTTTACGGGTCTGTAGTCATGTGCAGGACACCCATCATTCGATTTCTATCGTGTTATATTGATAAAATCTAATCATATAATTTTTTTATTGAATCGTTTCATTTTTTGCCATATCTTCATAGTCGTTTGAAGAAATATCATCAAACCCGGCATTGTTGAATTTGTAATAATAAACTCTACTTGATTATGGAATAATATACTGGGTGTTCCTATTCAAATAAGGAAGTTGAGGTGCACTTCGGTGTGACCCTGTATACCTACGATTTATTCAATAGCATATTTCGAGTGAGCATCATCAAATATACTGGGTGACCAAATTTCAAGTCATTCGATCGCGCGGTTGATTTTTTACAGGTGGGGACATTTTAGCTGGGACATGGTGTACAATAAGCATTTGAAAATATATAAGCATGGAAAGGTGAGAATTTTGTGAAGAGTTTAAAGCAGTGGCACAGCCGTCTTCAATTGAAAGCCATGAAGAATGAACTTGGCAACATTGTCCGAACGACCGAACGTGCACCTGTCGGCCATTCAAAGTGTATTGTGTAGGAAGTAAACAAGGAGTTTATGGAAGATTTTGTTAGTTTTCAATTATTAATTGGTGAATTATTGAGATCAAATAATTTTAAAAGTATTAGCAACAATCTAGGAATCGACTCGAGACTGAAAGTGTGTGGCAAGTGCATTCAAAATTGTGTTAAATTGGAGTATAACCTCCTCCTCCTCCTCCTCCTCCTCCTCCTCCTCCTCCTATAACGTGAAGTGTACTAGTGCTGGTGTATTTGCAAGGGAATTTGTGTTGTTTTTTTCAATTTACTCCTGGAAATAAGTAATTCATTATTTCTTATAAAATATGCCTTCTCATTGTTGTGTGCCAGGATGTAAGTCAAATCACAGATCTGAAAAAAAGCTGGGAACGGATTATGTCTGTTTTTTTATTCCCAAAAGGGGAAGAATTGCGAAGTAAGTGGATAACAGCAATACCTAGAAAAAACTGGACACCATCTCAACGTTCTGCAGTATGTGCAATTCATTTTATTGAAAAAGATATCATCAGGTATGATATATTCCCTCTGCCAGATGGATCAATTGGAAAAAAATTGTTATGAGCACCAAAGTTAGTCAAAACAGCAGTTCCTTCAATTTTTCCAAATTTACCAAAATATTTTTCAAAACCAGCCAAATCATAAAGAACTGATCCAAATGAAAGACGTCAGAAATATTTAGATATTCAAAGTAATATAATAGAACAGTTTGAAAAATCAGACCTCATCCACAACTATGTACAGTTAGTTAGGGAATATGTTGAGAAAGTTAAAATTGATACTTGGAAAATCCATAAGACTGATGATAAATTGTATTTTTATGAATCAGATTTGCAAGCAAATGTTTTTTATCCCAATGATGTAAATACTTTACAAATCGTTTCTCAAGTTATAATATCCAATGAGATGGAGGTCCATGTTTTTCTTGGTGATAATAAACTTGGATTCAATGAATTGAAATGGATTCTTACTCATGATATGAAATTGAATAGATGGTCACAACTTGAAAATATTCTAGCTAGATTCAAAAACATCTCAGATCAAACTGACAAACACTCAGATATTAATGAAAAATTCGATATCTCCATAAGTTTTATTTCAACAAAATGTTCAAAATTACGGCTTCAGTTCATGACCAAGGGAATTATTCAACCACATTATTCCTCGTTCTTCACTCTGTATGTTCACTCTCGTGTATTGTCAACCTATTCGACAAAATAATCCGAGAAAATTACTTTAAACCAAACATTCAAAGCTCGCGCTCATATAAAAACCATTGTATTGCTAGGCGCGAATGGGACCGACGTTCGTGCGACGTTGCCATTATCTCAGCACGGCTTGATAGTTGAAGACGGCTGTGGCAGTGGTGTGAAAACTTCGAAACAAAATTCCCAATTCGAATTTGAAAAAGTCTGTCGCTCACCGACGACCAGCCTCTCGTCGTCTGGCACCTCCTTGAACAGCTTCTTGAAGTCCTCCGACTTGTTCTTGTACGACGGATAGAAGGAATTGAACCACGAGGACTTCTTCTTGCCGCGCGACTCTCTACTGCCTCGCTCCTTGCCCTCTTTGCCCTCCTCCTGCGGCTTGGGAGGCGTCACTTCGGAGGAGGATCGGTCGCCCTTCGTCGAGCCCTCCTGGCTCTGTGACAAAGAAAAAATGCGGTTTGGAGAAACTAAAAAAACACGCTTTTATACAGGGTGTTTCAAAAAAATCTAACCCCCTTGCTAGGGTAGGTAGAACATTGCAAAATAAGTTGGGTTTGCTCAGTAAAAAAATGTCGTAACGCCATCCGTTTTCAAGATACAAGGTGTTGAAACAATATTTTTTTTACACATTTTTCACGATTATGTTGAAACTACTGGCAACCTGTGATGAAATTTTGTATGGATGGTTTTTGGAATCTGACACATTGCATGCATTTGTTTTTATATCTAACTCTCATAGAGGGCACTAGTTACACGGTTCGTACCGAGTAGTTTTGAATATAACTTTTTTGAGGTTAGATTTTTCAATCCGAATTTGATGTGAACTTGAACATCATTCAATTTCACGTCAAAAAGGTACTCTTGGTAAAACTCGATACTGTGTTCCGTTTTCGGAATATTTCGATTTGATAATGATGAAGTGGTAACTGTTGCTAATATAAAGCTATGTATTAGAGTGAGTATTATAAAAAAGTATCACCTATTTATTGAAAACCGAAAACAACAATACATTTCTGATGCAAAACTCATTGATTTAACAATGAATCACAAGAATAACATCGAAACAGATTTGACAAAGAACATGGATTACACAGTTTTGTTGTATCTTGAGCAGAAAGTCAATGCTACATAGGTAAATTCACCTCAAGAGTTGTGAGACATAATTGAACATCACTTAAATGACCTAACAGCTGATCCTCAACTGTTCAGAAGAATAATACATTTTTAAAAAAAGAATATAGAATCGTGTATTCCTCGAAACGTAGAACTTCTTGAACACTTACTCTAACTGATTCAACATTTCATGTTTCTAGTCAAATATCTCCTAATTTTCTACTTATGATTCTTCGTTCCATCGATAAATTCAGCACAAGAATAATTTTATTGTTTTTGAACCTGAATAAATAGGTAATTGAACTCAATAAAATTTATTTTATACCAGCATCATTACTATCGAGTTTCACCAGGAGTACCTTTTTGGTGTAAAATTGAATGATGTTCAAGTTCATATCATATTTGGATTGAAAAATCTAACCTCAACAAAGTTATGTTCAAAACTACTCGGTACGAACCGTATAACTAGCGCCCTCTATGAGTCAGATATAAAAACAAATTCATGCGATGTGTCAGATTTCAAGAAACATGCATACAAAATTTCATCACAATATTGCCAGTAGTTTCGGAATAATCGTGAAAAATGTGTAAAAAAATAATTTTTTCAACATGAAAACGGATGCCGTTACATTTTTTCACTGAGCAAACCCAACTTATTCTGCAGTGTTCTACCTACCCTAGCAAGGGGGTTAGGTTTTTTGAAACACCCTGTAGATAGCCGAACTAAAAAGAAGTAGAATATTAGTATATTATTATACAAGTTTTATAATATAAGACACTATATTGCCGCACGCATCGCTCGTCGTACTCCAATAAACTAGTGCGGCAATATTTCGTTTACAGAGTGCCCGTTTTCCGAGATCCACCATGGGGATCTCAGTTATTATAAGAGATACGAGGTCGGAATTTTCATGCTGAACATTTATCTGCAAGAAAATTCGATGTGTCATTTTCAGTGTTTGAATTATTTGAAGAACACGAAAATTTTAAATATACCGGGTGATCAAGATTCTGAATTCTGCACCACCCTGTATTTGTTCCAATTAAATGTCAGTAGATAGTTGATCAAAAGTTGAGATAGGGATATGTGAGCCGTTTTGACCAATAATGAATAGTCGTTTCGACAAAAAAAATCCTAAAGTTGAAAAATGTCGATTTTTCACACCCTATATCTCTGTAATCATTTCCGCTAGACCCCAAGTGTGATGCATCGATGAAATCCGCTCTTCAGAGAGAATCTGAAAATGCAATAAAATACAGGGTGTTCCATTTAAAATAACAAAGTTGTTGCTACTTTTCGATAGAAGCGGCAACGCCGCAGAGTTGAAAATATTTTAGATCGCTGATCGATAGACCAAGAGCAACTACGTGAGTAACCAAAATTTCAGAATGATCCTATGTCCCGTTCTCCATAAACGTCTAACGTACCATCGACCGTGAGTTACCCTGTATATGTAGACACATAATATATGATATAGATATCAATTGCTTTACCCTTTTTTTTTTTAGAATAATGTCTTCATAGCATAGGTTATCCTTAACTTTTTTCGATCAGTTTAATGTGTTCTTTGAGAAAGAGCAATGTACCTTGTACTGATAAAATAGTAAGTATCAACCTACATACCTAATTGAAATAATTTTGCAAAACAAATTTACTGAAATTATTCATATACTTTGCCTCACTACTCAATACCTATACTATGTAGATATTTCCCGCATAATTTGAAAGTTTTTCGTATTTTTTTCAAGTTGAGTAGGAAAGAATTTGATGGAGAATTGAATTGCAGGTTTGAAGCTGAAAAATTTTTTAATAAAATTCGAAAATTCATCCCTCATATTTCAATCTCTTATCAGGACCAGCTGTGTATATTCAATATTTTATCTGTTATTAGATATAAAAAAATTACAATTCAAAACACTATCTGATTGTCCACTGCCATGAACTGATATAAATGAGTAGCTGAAATCAAGCCTGCAATATTTCCAAAACAATTTCGATGAACAGATTAAAAACTACTATGCCTGAAAATCGATAGGAATTGAATCGGGTGATCTAGGTGACCATCTAGGCTAACCAATTCAATAATAAATGAAGGAATAAGGAATATTTGATAATTAAATAGGTAACCATTATTTCTGAATGAGATTTATTCAAAGATTGACCTAGGAACAAATTTTGACCCATCAATATTCACTAACTGTGAATTCGATGATATTATGCTGTTTCATACTTGCCCAAAACATTATCAGTTTGTGCATTCCACAACCATTATTTTTCAACTCATCAGAAAATATTGATGAACTAGCTCTTTGAGAAAATGATCAGGAACACAACCAACAAACAATACACAATCCCAGCACATTTTTCAATACATTGTTTCTGCTGATAAGATAAAACTGGTTATGAATTTTTTACACCTCAATAAAATTGGATTATTGAAAACCAACACTTGAGTAATTGACTAGACCATGTTGATAACTTTTCTGTCAAATATACACAACCTGAATTGACTGACCATAACAAAAAGTATCCATTTCACCAAGATCCATGAAAATTTGCTGGATTTTGAACATGTACTTTGATCAATTATTTTATAAAGTAAACTTGGTATGATCAATGTTCACCTTGGTGGGTATTCTAATAAAAAACCTCATTAAATGTGAATGATAGGTAATCATTTTAATTGCTATGTATGTATTCATGTATGTATCAAGAAAGTATTAAAGCACCTCCTTAATTGCTAGAAACAATAGTTTTAAAAGGCAGTCTATATTTTTGAATAATATGGAAAATGATTTTTACACACATTCAAAGATTGAATATTATTCCACTTGTGGTTTGCTTTGCAAACACTCTTGGAAGAATCTTATTTTAGTCAGTTAGGGAACTTTCCAATCCAATTTGATGAAATATCCAATGTTATATACAGTTTTTTGATAATCCATTAAATTACTGAATAGATATAAAAAAACAAAGCACCCTTCAGCTGAAATGTTTCAAAGCATTTGCAGAAATTGAATGAGGACAACATACATAAGGGATGAATGATATTTCTTATGATAAACATCTCAGATAAACAGGACAAGAGGAAACATATTTTTTCCATCAAGGGGCTTGAGTTCAATTCGAATATATATCTGCTGTAAAAATTAGTTATTATTTGAAAAAAAAAACATGTTATTAGTAATTGAAAATGGAGTGAGAAAAACAAATTCTTGGATCCAATATTTACAAAAGATGAAAATGTTTCAACAGCTCATAAAAGAAAGATCTATTGGTACCAAGATTGGTACTTACTGAAGGAGATCCATCCTTGACACAAGCCTGTTCCTTATAGTTTACAGTGAGAAGTGTATCAGACTTTGAATGTTCTCTCTTATTCTGAGGTCTTGGAGAAGGCCTAGGGCTGCTCCTAGGACTAGAAGACGGGCTTACTGATCTAAAACAACATCATTAAATGGGTGAGCTGGCAGTAGTTTTGCAACAAGAGCTTTTACTTGGCATCTGTACTAGTGTTTTGCTTCTCATATGCTGCAATGTTGGATGAGGACAGGTTCGATTTCATAGTGCTTCACCGCTTTTCTGCATGCTGTTACCTTTCACTAGGTCCCAGAAATAAGAGGAAATTATTGGGAAATTTGTTTAATGGAATGTTCAAAATCAATAGGGAGAAGCACCTTGAACAAATTTAGAAAGAATAATAAAAAATGTAGATCACTGAACGAATTATCATATCACCCAATCATTATGGAGAATTGGAGAACAACTGGTAAAAAACACATAAGAAAGAATTATTACTAGTTATTTAAATTTAATATCATATCAGCACTACTACTACTGCTAGTAGTACTACGTCATATTCTTCACATGCATGGATTTAACAAAAATGTCACAATTAGCTGTCATTTGTCAACAGTGTCAACATACTAGTGTCAAGCCAAGGATTGTGTCAAGCAAGTCAAGCGTGGAAACACAAAACATATTATTCCATGAAAATGGACTGAAGTTCACTGCAACAGTGCAACGACATGGAACCACAGAATACAGAATGGACCATAGATTAAAAAAGATATCTACATAGTTGCCATTGTTGCCAGATATATTTTTATTTGGGCTTGCTTCTTGCTGAGATGTTTATGTCATTCCGCTTTCGTTTAATCACAGTGGTTTAATATATTCGTTTTAAAAAAAATTGTATACTGAGAGATTATTCCAATAATCAAGTTTTCTAGCAGCGTGATTCGAGCAATTAGCTTTTTCAGATTCAATCATAAAACACTTGGCCTGTGACTTGGCGTTTTAGAGTAGGCAACACTGTAGTTTTTGCTAATGGTGCATAGACGCCATAGGTGAAAGTGGGTTGTGTTTTAATTTTGGATATTTTTTCCTCCACTATGGAATTTAGTAAGTATTTCGATTGCCGTATTATATTCTTTGAGTTGAAATATTTCATCGACATTTAATTCATGATTAGGGAAATACCTAGAAAGGTTCGACTGAAAATGAAGTAGTTGGAAGTATGTATCCCCAAGCTGTTTGACCCGTAAACAACTATGAGGGCATTTCCATTTCTTTATTTCGATTGTTTACCTGCTTGCTCGGCCTATGGATTTTTCCTCTACATTTTATCGAAATCTGATTTTCAATTTAAAATTATGCATCTATCAAGTTGCTTACGTGTTTGTGTTTTGTTTCCTCTTGAACCAAAATAAAAGGTGTGTTGACCGGTACCTAGCGCAAAGCGCGGTATTTTGTGATAAGCTATTTTTGTTGAATAATAAAATGTAAATAGTAGGCAGTAGCGTAGTCGGTTGTTCTCTGGATGAGAAAAATAAAATCCATTTTATTTTGGTTTTATCGCTAGTGCCTAGTATATATTAAATAATTGTCAAGGGCATTCTCACAATCACAAAACAAATCCCCCACCTCTTGAAATTACACTTGTTTTAATAGGTGAGAATCAAGATTGTAAATGATGTACTTCTTAATTCAATATTATTGCCATTCTCAATGTTTCTCATGCTTATTTCAATAGTTTTTTATGCCCTGATGGAGGGAATTTCTCTAATAAAACATATTTTGTACACAGTTTTGTGAATGTAAAAGCATGAACACAACCCTGCAGCCAGTGCTACAGCCATCCACTCAGTCTCCTAGCGTTCAGAGCCCTAGTAAGTCCATGCATCCACAAGGGTCTCCCATGTCATACACTCAACCTTCAGGCCCCATGCCCCAGAACCCCTACCCCAACACAAACATGGCCCACAGCCATGCTAATGCCCAACAGAACCACTTCTCCCTCAGTGTCCCCTCAGGGGGCTACAGCATCCCAGCCAGCAACCATCCTGTGGCCAGTTTGAACCAGTCTGCAGCAGCCCAGAAAAATGTCTCCTATTCTAGTGGGTTTCTGCCTAATGTTGGGCATGCACAGAATGTGAGTTTGAGCTAGTGATGTCTGGGAGAGTTGGATTCTGCATGATTTATTTTTTTAGCAAAATACTATTCCCCCTGTGAGCCAAAGTTTACCAGCCAACCCTATAGGTATGCAGCAGCCTCAGCAAAACCTGCAAAATGCCCCTACAGCCCAAAGCCAGGTGAGATGAGTTATTTAGGCACTTGGTTTAAATTTTTTGGAAAATAATTTTTGTGAACACTTATCTTTGATTTTAGAATTCAACCTCAGTTTCTACTCCAGTAGTAGAGCCTTCTACAGAGAAGGACAAACCACAAGCCAATGGTACTCCTGAAAAGGTTCTACCTCAAGCAGAACCTCAGGAAAATCATGTCACACCTGCTGTTCCAATTCCTCCAGTTGTGTCTTCTCCATCTACATCAGAAGTTGCACAGGTGAGACATAAGATTTCTAAAATAATAATGGTAATAACGAATCTAACAAATATAACAATGATAAATAGAAAAAAAAGGTAAATATTAATTTATTTCAATCATTTGGTGAAATAATCTTGAAATTATTGAATCTACACAATTTATTAATATGTGGAAACAAAACTGAATAAACAAAACATCATATGAATATCAATTATAGAAAACATAAAAAGTAGATGACTCAATTTTATTTTGATTTCATTATTTGTATTGTTGAAAATATTCATCTGTCAATGATAGTTTCCATTCATGACCATTTGAGTGATTTATGATAAAAACCATGGTTGAAACAAGATGAAGTAATCTTGAAATAGAGCAGCTCAGCTAGCATTGAGAGAGAGAAAAAAATGTCTTCCCCATCCCCCATCTGTTTTTGTCTTCAGTGTTATAACATAAAATAATAGGAATTTTCTGTTGGCAACACTGAAAATGAGAAGAAATGGAGAAGAAGACCATTCTGTTGGCAACATTGAAAATGAGAAGAAATGGAGAAGAAGACCATTCTAACCTTTTTTATGTTGAGGTTAATATGATCATAATTTTTTTTTTTAATTTCCAATGTTACCAACATGAAATTTTCATTATTTTATGTTGGAACACTGAAGGCAAGGACATAATATGGGAAAGACATTTCTTTTCTCTGAACTGCTATTGAAATATGAACAATAAAAAAATTATTAATTGGATCTCACTTATGGTGGTTTGGAAGCTATTGCCATATTTTCAAACTTAATCCCCATTTCTTCATCCATAGTTTATTTACTGAAAATTTTGAAAAATCAGATTTACTGCCACACTTTGTACTTGTTGAATCAAATGATAAATTATTATGAGGATTTTAAAAACATGAAAACCTTGATATATTTATTTCATTTGACTATTTTATCATCCATTGTTTTTTATAAATTCAAAATTTTTAAAAATCAGATTTACTGCCAGACTTTGTACTTGTTGAATCAAATGAAAAATTATCGTGAGGATTTAAAAAAAAGAAAAACATTGATATATTTATTTCATTTCTTTGATGTTGCATGTGAATTTTCAAAATCAAAATATACCTATCCTATCTAGTGATCATGTTAATTACCCAAGAATGAAAATATTTGGTTCTGCTTATTTGAGATATTTGAATGGTCCGATTTTTATCAACATCAAATTCTTGTTCAAGTCATGGAAACCATCTATCCTTCTCAATAGTTGGTTCAAAATTCAAGTATTCCTTTAGTGGACTGATTTTTTGCTTTTTTTAATTTTTATTTTATAATGTGATTTACACATGGCCTTATAGGTGTTTTTCCCCAACAACTTATTGTTCCTCTTTGAATTAAATATCTTTACAGGTTCTGTGTACTGATGTGTCTGAAGATGGCTGTTTGAGCCGAAACTAGCCACAATACATTTTGTGTAATATAATTTTTGTGGTCGACCGACTTGGTGTTATTCTGTTTTTTTTTCTTGAAATTCTTGTTCTTCTGACAATAGTATAGAAATTATATGAAATGATCTCTACAAAATCATCAATTCGAAACTCGTCCGCCATATTGATGAATCCGCCATCTTGAATTTCCAAATTTCGACGAAAAAAATCCTAATCTCCAACACCAAAAACCTCCAAATGCCAATTCTGAATAGAGTCGGTCCATAATTACAAAACTTGTCCGCCATACTGGACCCGCCATCTTGAATTTCACAATTTCAACAAAAGAATCATAATCTCCGACCTCGAAAACCCCCAGATATAAATTTTGAGTAGAATCGGATAATAATTACCAAACTCGTCCGCCGTATTGGATCCGCCATTTTGAATTTCCAAATGTTGAAGAAATATTTCTAACAACATATAATCTCCAAAAGTTCAAAAAAAAAATCCAATACCTACCTCCTGTCCTTATCCTCCCTAGGAACGCACATGTTCTTTGAACATTATAGGGATTCCCTTTCGTGCGCTCCAAGCGATAAAAAAAATCTCCGACCCCGAAAACCCTCTCAGATACCGATTTTTCATAAAATCGAATTATAAAACTCGTCTGCCACCATATTGGATTCGCCATCTTGAAATTTCAATTTGAAAAATATTTTACGACCGATTCTCAGACCAACCGAATATGCACATAAATTTTCATAAGAATCGGCCAAGCCGTTGCCAAGGAGTTTGTCAACAAACATCGTGACGGACAGGAGAATTTTATACAGGGTATTCCTAAAAGGTCTTGACAAAAACTCACCACATATTCTTCAGATTGCTTAGTTTGGGCATGGTTTGGGCGCTAGACGGCTCTGAAGCTACAATTTTCAAATCGTTTTTGCTTCATATTTGGTACATTGACATAGTTCTATTGGGCAATCAATCCCATTACATGATATTGATCAATATCAAAAAGGTACTCTTGATGAAATTTGATTATTCTCATGGTTTCGACCAAATTTAAATTTTAGTAATTCAAAACATCAGTCAACACTTGAACTATTAACAGATATTTCTCAAAAATGGTTAAAAATATTCACCATGTATACAAAGATTTATACTTCGAAAAAAAAGAGTGCTATGAGCTATTTTTCGTTTTTTTTTTCTGAGTAAGCCAGAGCCGCCTAGCGCCCAGACTGAGCAATTATGTACTAAGGTGTATTTGCTTTGAATATATTTTTTTCGCCGTAAAAATCTTTGTATGCGTGAAAATGATGAACATCTTGAATAATTTTCTTGACATATCTGTTGATCGTGTCAATGTTAACTAATGCTTTGAATTACTAAAATTCAAATTTTGTCGAAAGCATGTGAGCAATCGAATTTTATCAAGAGTACCTTTTTTGTAGTGGACAAGTTACGCAATCCAAATTTCATATTCAAACCACAAACCACATTTTTTCATTGGCGTAGAAGTTTTGGATGCTCAATTACTGAAATAATCAAGTTCAATGCTCTTGGAATTATATTGTATCATTATTATATACATATGGGCTTTCTTGCCCATTGCCGTTTCTAAGTTATGAAGCAAAAACGATTTGAAAATTGTAACTTCAGAGCCGTCTAACTCCCAATCTAAGCACCTTTGTTCTGTGGTAACTTTACTTTTATCGAATTGTTTTGGTCTGAGGAATATGTGGTAAGTTTCTGTATATTAGATGGAAATGTACAACACATAAAGACACTAATAAAAAACAAAAGTGGGCACTTTTCTATAAAAAATTATGTCTCCCTCCACACAGACATCCCCCCCGAAGCCGCCACAACCGCCCACCGTACTAGAAAAACCCGACCCGCCCAAACCCCCCGCGGAAGTAGCCCCGCCCCCACAAACCACCCCGGACCCTCCCACTGACCCCAAGCCCGCCCCGGAAATCCCTGCCACCCCCGCCCCCGTCGTAGTGCTGCCCCCTGCGGAGGATGTCCTCCCGGAACCGCCCCAAGAGACTGACCCGCTGGCCATCGACCCGCCTCCAGCGGAAGAGAACGCCCAATCAGAGGCGGAGGGCGTGGTCGGCGAGGTGGGCGGGGCTAAGCAGAGCCCCGCCAAGAAGGAGGGGGGCGTTGCAACGACGAAAGGGGCCGCTGTGGCTAGGGCTGCAGTGAGGAAGGTGAAGGCTGCGAAGGTGGAGGCCAAGCCGGAGCCGAAGACGCCCGTTCAGAAGTCGCCGAACACTGGAAAGGTATGTAATGTTTATTCCTTTCAATTTGCAGTAACTTGAGACCCTGACAAATATTGTTTCTATTTTGTGTCTTCAATGAACTCATTATGATCATATTATAGAACTGCAGAACGATGTTTTAATGAATGTTTCTCATATTATATTTTATGAACGTTACAGGTATCTTGAGCATTTATCATTGAATTTGCTGGTAAGTTCTGTAGTCCAATAAATGAAGGAGGAAAAAAAGGCAAAGTTAACGTTAATTACGCACTATTTTCATCTTCCGGTTGGAAGTAGCTTTTGGTACCTCATTGAACATGAGACAAAGTTTGACTGGAAAACGCGTGCGATGGCGGAGAAAATGGCCCCAATAGACCAGGAAAATAGGTTTTCAGCCAATATCTCCTGAAATATGGCAGTTAGATATTTTCGGTTCAGATAAAAATTGAAGTTCAGTTAATTTTCTACAAAAATGGTCCCTATCATTTTTTTCGCAACATCAATATTTTCTGCAAAAAAATCGGGTTGAAAAACTGGAAATTTTGCTTTCGCTCGGCTTCGCTAAACGCTCCGCCTCGCAAATGCAATATTCGCTTGTCAAACAAAGTGTCACTTTTGATCCTAATAAAACAATCTACTATTAGATGATATTTAAAATTGCAATGCAATCGGTTCAAAAATAACTGAGCTAGAGTGGGGGGACATTTATGGTGTACCACCCTGTACATGCAACCGATCGTCGATCCAAGTTCGATAGTTCGAACTAATCACTCTGAATTCGGGACTGTGTCCAGGTGAAGAGGCAGCGGATGATGACGCAACACTACCAGAGCCCCCTGCCGGAGATCGAGATCATCGCGAAGATCAGCTCGTCTCGAGCGCGCCGCAGCCACGCCGACGACAAGCTGATCTACTTCTACAAGAACGAGTTCCTCGCTGTGCGGAACGCCGACGGGGGCTTCTATCTCTGCCAGGCCATGCAGAATGTCTACAAGTCCTCGTCGAAGATCAAGATTCGCTGGCTGTCCCAAGATAAGGTAATGATGATAATAAACTTGTTTATTTTGAGTTTTCTTCAGATGATTTTTCATAAAATAAGTTCGGAACTCTCCAGGTTTATGTCCACGCTGTACAGAATGGCGACCGATAAAGTCCAAGTCGTTATCAATTTTAAATTGAAGCAATTTCTAATTTTCGGGGGGGGGGGGGGAACTGTGATGTACATCCCGAATCTAGTCTGAAAGTAGCTGATGGTAACGAATGAAAAAATTGAAGAAGTAAAACTGGTAAACAAAAACATATACAGTGTGTCCCACTTACCATGTTCACCATGGGTATCTTTTTAACGGTGAGAGATACGAGGTCGGTTAAATGACACCAAATGTGGAGTTTGTCAAGGCCAACTATAATGTGAAAAAATATTTTGATAAAATCTATTCGTTTTATGCGCAAAAAACAGATTTTGATCATTTTCATGTCTCCTCCCTAACTTCTTTATTTATGAAACTATTAAAATAGGAATTTCACATTCTCATGGCAGTTTTTCAAAGTGATTTTGAAAAAAATATGAAATTTATACCAACTCTTCTAGAATTTGAGATATCAGCACCAACTTTAGTTTTTCAAATGTAGGTCATAGCTCACTATGACCTAGTTACAAATAACTTTTTTTTCTCTTACAGATTATATGTCGCAGTAATAGTTTTGTGTTGATAACAGAGTTATCGTCATTTATACAAAAACAAAAAATTATTAGGAAGCCGCCATCATGAACTTATAAATTTCAACAAAAAAATCTTGATCTCCGACCTCAAAAACCCCCACTTACCCATTTTGAATGGAATCGGACCAAATCTTGTCCGCCATCTTGGAGCAGCCATTTTTTTAAATTTCAACAAAAATTCCATAATGTATTGTCACCGAAATTATGAACACCTGCCAAATTCCAAGTTAATCGGAGTTATGGAATTTTTGTTGAAATAAAAAAAATGGCTGCTCCAAGATGGCGGACAAGATTTGGTCCGATTCCATTCAAAATTGGTGAGTGGGGGTTTTTGAGGTCGGAGATCATGATTTTTTTGTTAAAATTAATAAATTCAAGATGGCGACTTCCGAATGATTTTTTGTTTTTGTATAAATGACGATAACTCCGTTGTTATCAACGCAAAACTATTACTGCGACACATCATCTGAAAGAGAAAAAAAAGTTATTTGTAACTAAGTCATAGTGAGCTATGACCTACATTTGAAAAACTAAAGTTGGTGCTGATATCTCAAATTCTAGAAGAGTTGGTATAAATTTGAATATTTTCATAAATAAAGAAGTTACGGAGGAGACATGAAAATGATCAAAATCTGTTTTTTGCGTATAAAACAAAAACGAATAGATTTTATCAAAATATTTTTTCACAATATAGTTGGCCTTGACAAACTCCACATTTGGTGTCATTTAACCGACCTCGTATCTCTCACCGTTAAAAGGATACCCATGGTGAGCATGGTAAGTGGGACACACTGTATAACCATAAATGCACTCGGAGCAGGAATGCAGAGGGTAGTTGGCTTCATTCTGACAGGTTATGGTTTTGTTATTTATGCATTGAAATATCTTGAATAGAGCTCGATCCTAAACGAAGATATCATTGAATCAATGAATCACTATCGGCTACATTCAATGATACTATCCTTCCTAATTTACTGTCATCGGTCAGAACAGAATGAAGCCGACATCCATGGCTCCTTCCTCTGTCAGTATTTTGAGTGGTGTGGACGGACTCGAAGTATCAGATGCTGTTACAAGATATAATCTGCAACTTTCTTAGGAAATAGATCCGTATTATTAAGGATCGAATCCATTAGCAAAAATAATGACTGACAAGTTATGAATAACATATTGTGATATAACGATAGTGAAAAATTATAGATACTATCGCAAAATATCATAATTTATCTTTATTAGTTATCAACTTCATTCAGTCAATGAGAGATTAATATTTGTTTTATTTTCATTGAGAACCAGTTTATTTTATAAAAACCAAGATTTGGCCTTGTCAAGAGTCTTAAATCTGCTTCGGCAATCAGACTGATCATATCCGTAGCCTTGACAAGCATATTCGTGTCGTCAGCATAATTAATCAACTTACAATTATTTGCGTTAAGCTCAATGAAGTTATTCAAATCATTTAGGTAAATTATGAAAAGCAATGGTCCAGTAATGCTGCCTTGTGGAATACCGATATTTGATATTTTTTCTTATCTTCCGCTGTCACCACGTAACCTATCAATGTCCTCGACTTTTTTTTCATGTTCTCGTTATATTAATAGCAATTTCTTTGTAGGAGTTTATTTATCGCTGAAAAACGAGGCTGGTTTGTCACATGTGAGTGAATTAGGTAAAGCAAGTCCGATAATTTGAACAAAAAATATCGCCGTAATTCAGGGGATACTGTGAAAATGATCGATTCTGATCGGTACTCGAAAACAAAAGTGGAATATTCATTAAAAAAAAAAACGGCGAATAACAAAGAAAACTTCTGACTTTGTAGGCAGACACCACCGGCGAAATCTACACGCCCGACTTCTACGACCTGACCGACTTCGACTGCATCCTGACCAGCCTGGACCTGGCCAGGGTGGACAAGGGCAAATACCGTCTGAAGCCCGCCGAAAAAGAGAGGACCGACAGCATCCTGAAGCGGTGTCTGGCCGTGGAGAAGGGCGAGATCGTGACACCGTCGGTGTCCGAGGAGCACCCTGACGGACGTGAGTACCTTTTTTTTTATTTGGAAGGAGTGATGCAAAGACAACCTAAGAAAACGGATGTTATGTTATGAATGTATACCTATGGACAAGAATCACAATGGGCTTATATAACGAAACATTTTTATTTCATAATTCGATAGAACTCACCCAAACTAGCTCACCACCGCAAACCGTTTCTTGCTGTGAGCTCCCTACGTTTTATAAAAAATTATTGAATTCCCCGATTTTTCGGACCTCTGAAAACGAGGCGATGATGTGACGTCAAAACCCTAATACTGAAACAAGACTATTCCAGACAGAGATGAATGATACATGATTTCTGACAGAGTGAATTAGCGCGAGATCACAGTTGAAAGAATTAATATATCAGTTGCCTCAGTCTCCGTCGGGCGTTTAACTGTGGCGAGATGAGGTTTCTACGTCATAAGATGGTCCGTTTTCAGAAGGTACTATTATTTATTTCCAAAAATGAAACATTCCAGTTGATTTTTTGATAGAATTATGTCGTCAATCATTATTTATGTTTGAAAGGATCATTATAAACATGGTTTGAGTTGAAAGTTCTACTAAGGTGTACACGCCAATTGAATAGTGCTTTGTTACCTACTAAGAAAACGGATGTGATGTTCCTAAATGCGGTGAATACATGTTTTACCTGTCTGACCAATGTATACCTTGGGACAAGAATCACAGTTGAATCGTGGTTTGTTACCTACTAAGAAAACGGATGTGGTGTTCCTAAATGCGGTGAATACATGTTCTACATGTCTGACCCATGTATACATTGGGACGAGAATCACAGTTGAATCGTGGCTTGTTAGATGTTCATTAGCCCAGCAAACTAAGTTTTGAGATAATTGAAGAAAACATTATATATTATCAAGGGAAAACAAAATGAAAATTCTAATAAGTTTGCGCGCCGACAGAGGTCGTTTTAACAAAAACGATGGTTTGATTAATGTAGAATTCGACGAAAATGAAAGCTCGAAATTGCTAGATGGGTGACTGATGCCCAATTAACAAATCACGATTCAGTTGTTTCAAATTCGAAAATTCATGTGATGTTCCTAAATGCGATTGATACTAGTTTTACCTGTCTGACCAACATACATACAGTATGATGCAAATGAAGGGAATGAATTCGTGTCTAGCCAAACTGTCTATTCTTGAGAAATCTGAAACAGGCCTTTGTTTTCCACATTCATAAGTGGAAATATAGGGTGATATATAGGAACACCCTATAAATTATTCAATTTTTGGAATCTCCATGAAAAACAGAATGGGCAAGAAAAGTCATTTCTAGTAAAAATACTACGACGTTCATCACGATGAGAACATGCATAGAGAATTTCAAAGAAATTTTTACTCCTTCTAGATTTCTCAAAATTCCCAAAGAAATACTCCCGTCAGAACACGACGACACGAAGTTCTATAACGCGTCGACCGTCTATTGGTAGTCGGGAAAAAATCGATCAGTGAGGGGAAGTATGGACTGCCCCTACTTACGACGTCAGTTTTTATTTGCCGTAAATTTCTAGTCGTTTGAAAATTACCGTGGATTTACAATCTATAAAAATATGAGATTGAAAGATATTTGAGTGATGAATCTATTTGAGAAATAAATTAAATGGTGATACGAACTTTACTGTTTTTTATTTTCAAAAATAAAAATCAGAAAAGCAAGTACCACAATTTGCTCCGGCAGCTCTTGTGTCTGGTGAACCAATGGCTTGGTGTTCGGATTTTGTTAGGTGGCCAGTTGAGCGCCACTAAGTTTATTGAAGATCGAAACTTAGAAAAATTGTATCAGATGTTAAAATCAACAATTTACAATTACTTACTCTCAGATGATATATCTATGATTCTCAAAGAAATAACTTGTACCTGAAATGTAAACTATTATTGAATAAAAACACTACTTGTGGTCTCATGTGGATTTTAATAAAAGATTAGATGAAAAGATCAAAATCATTCACAATTTTATAGGTATTGACAGAAATAAAAGATTAGATGAAAAGATCAAAATCATTCACAAATTTATAGGTATTGACAAAAATATCTGTTTTATTATAGTCAACTAGTGATTTAAACTTTCATGTGAAAAATACCTGGCAAGATACACTCATTTTAGTCTCACTAGGTATGAGGACTAACTGAAAAATTCCCTAACTCCGCTATAGGCCCATATCGAAGCATACACAGCTTCCTAACTTTATTAATAGGTATTCCTTTTATATAGTCAAGTAATTTCAATAAAACAAAAATGTGAATGGTATGAGAAATTCAAGAAAGCATAATTGTTATGACATGGTGGTGACGTAGTTCAATTTTAAGGTGGTTTTTAAATGATACCTGGTGACTAGGTAGAATTCAGGCTAGGGTTCAGCCTCTGGAACATAGGTGATCCTGAGCAGGACAGATTACATCTGCCAGTGAAGATCTGGGAGTCCCAGGACTGCGGTTTTCATAGGTGACAAGATACCTAGTGGGCAGCAACTTGTTGAACTTGAGGTGCCATGACCTCGTGACTGGGCTGGAAACGAAGTTCCCCAAACAGCCGCAGGTGATCTAGCAAACCACTCGTAGTCAGCAAACAGATTACCGGCCAGAATCCTAGTAGGGTGTCTTGTAACGTCCAGAGTCAGAATCAGCCACAGCAACTCCTCAGCAAAAGTCGAGAGATCCTCTCTGGGAGGTAAAGTGACCGGCGTGGTCTCACAAAATGGCCTCTTGGTCCCAGGCCCCAATTGACAGGCCCACAAATCTATAAGAATAGATTCGGGATCACTGTCTTGTGATTCACAAAAATGGCTGAGAGCCTCAGAAAAGAAAATAACTCACCTCCAATCTGGATGGCCTGTTTATCAGGCTTGCACCTTCCTGCAGCCTCACCAAAATCAAAATGAGACCCCATTCTCATTTTCGAAGTCACGTCTTCCAGCATCTTGCAGAAAATGAAGTTGCCGGAAGGAGAAGAAATAACTTGATGCGCAAAGCAAATCACAAATACATTTATAAAAACTTTGGAAAAGACAAATTATCGAAATTTCGACACTGCACATTCAAAAAAACAAAATATCCAACGCACGTGACTGACTCGTGACGATCTGGCATCACCTGATTGGTTCAAATTGGACCTAACATCAATCATACCAATACTCCTAATGAAAATTGATGACATATAATTTCCTGTGATTTAAAATCTGAGCGGGAAATCATAACATACAGACATTTCTGACTCCTATTGTCCCAAGGCTGCAACAGCTGTACTCTTCCATCCTTCACGATCAGGAACGATAAACAAAGATGCAAAATCTCCTATTGCACTCGGAACTACAAATAAGGCCACTGTCCTGAGTAGAAAGATAACTAATAGAAAGTAGAAGAAGAACAAATTAGGTTGTTATCACTTCTGTCAGATTCGCATAAATCAAATTAATAACATAACCCCACATAAATGACCAAGAAAAATCGAGATTTATTCGAAATTACAATAACTTCAGCCAAGGAATCAACAAGGTAGATATCTAAATTTAACTCAGGCATGTGCTTGTTTACTTTGAAAGTTCTCAAGTTGAAATATTTTCCCAAGATGTTTACATTGAATTTATAAATTGACTTCATTCATTTGTTCATTTCAGGCCAACATTCTTCTGTTCAGGAGCTTCAAATCAATGGGAAGGGAACAGAAAGTATATCTAAACTGTTGGACACTTCTATCCAGGTAATTTCAATCAAATTCCTTCATATTTATCAACTTATTATCCTTTGTTTATTTTCAGCTATCTTCAAGACTTTCAGATTATAAACTGCAAGAGGCCTATTGATGACCCATAAAATAAATGAGATATGATGTGATAGATATTTGTGTATTTTCGAATGAATAAAGGGTATTATACAGAGTGAGCAATTGTGAGCATATCATAGTGGAGATACCATATCAGTTTCTTTAAACGTTAGAAATCAATATTTATGGTCTGGTATCTTTATGATGGTAAGTTTTTTGTTTATTTTGAGATTCTAAACTAGATATACCATGTAATATGAAAAAGGCTAATTTTCATGTTACACACACCCCCCTCCAAAGAATATAAAAATTGTGAACGTAGTGATCAATTTTTAGGAGTAGCACAGAGAACCGTTTTTTAATGTTTTGTAGAAATGGTGCGCACCTACCTATATCTTAATTAATATGTACAGAATCCTAAGGACTATGATACTAGACTCGAACCTAAGTTAATTATTTACAACTTTATTCACTTCAAATCTGCTAAAAGCATTTCTGTTTGGCTACAATACCATAATGGACCTAATCTTCTCCTCTTTCCGATCCGGACTCCTCATCGTCGCACGAAAAATCAGACATTGGCCCGTGACATGGTTTCAAATCTTGTATATGCCATTCACCTAAATTGCTACCGTCCTCAGCGCTTTTGAGTACGTAAACCAATTTAGATTTTTTCTTAACCACTATGGATTCAATCCATCGCGGTGCCAATTTTTTAGCAAAATCCTCTGCCTTATTGGACAGAACAAAATTTCTTTTCCACACATGATCTCCAACGTAGAATTCCATAGCACGTCTTCGCAAATTATAATGTCTAGCATTTTTCTTGTGTGCTGCACTAATTTTACGTTGAACTTCATGATAGATATTTGAAAGATTTCCTAAATTTTGGACCCAATAGTCTCTATTTGTGATATCGATATCAACGTCATTTTTTCCATAATATTTACCGCTACAAGGCACTTCTCTGTTGAAATTCAAAAAGGCTGGGCTGTATCCAGTGACCTCATGTATTGATGTCCTCAATGCATATCCTATTTTTGGCAATTCTTTATCCCATAACTTATGATTTTTTTCAATAAAACAACGAATAGCAGTACAGATTGTTCTATTAGATCTTTCCACATAATTAGCTTGAGGGTGATAAAAAGTTGTATACCTAATATTGGAATCGTATTGTTCCACCAATTTTTTGAAATCTTTACTGACAAAT